GTCAATGAAGAATGTAAGTTTTGTGCTAGAATAAGCTGTCTAGCAATTTGATGTAAATTTAACTTATCTGAGAATCACAGTAACATGAAGTATTCAAGAATAGTAAAGTTGTATCTTACTTAAGATGTTGGTATTGTTCTGTTCAGAGAGTTACAGTCAGGACTACAAAAATACAAGTACAGAAATATGAAGAAGAAAAAACTCAAATACAAATAACACTGTGGCATTAGTTTCTAAAGAAAATGCTTTAATTAAGTAAGTAGGGGTTATAGGTTGAAAGTTAAATTTCTAGGAAATGTATAATTTTTCTCTTTCTGCTCTGGGACATTCTGTCAGTTCAGGCAGTTGAATTCAGTGAAATGCCACAAGAGAAAATCCTGGCTAGCAAACGTGGCCAATCTATGTGACTAAGAACTAAGAATCTGTGCATAAGATAAATGCATATTTTCTATTATTTCAGATTATAGTAAACTGTATATGAATGTATAGTCATAGGAGGAGATATACTTAGCTTTTTAGGATTTATTGAGGCAAAATGGAACTTGTTTATTATTGGCTTCATGCCTTTCACCTAATCATGAATGATTTTAGCTGGGATTTGTAGAAAAATAGAATTTCCAAACTTCATATAGTCCTGTATCTTTCTTTCGAAGGATTTAATTTTGGATAAAATAGAAGTTTTGTGGATGGAGAGCTTTGATATTTTATTTAAATTTTCTGCATTAAGAGAAAAGCTGTAACTCCCTCTTCTGCTGAATGCGATTTTGCATTTATGGATACCTCACACAGTAACCCAGTCAGCTGATGAGTTTGTTTTTTAGCCATCTTCTGTAGAACAGCCTTACAAAATCTGAGTCACAAGTTGCAGAGCAGAGGGAAGAAAGCTGGGCCGTGTATTGGGTTCCAGGGCAGCAGCTGTGGGTGCATTTAGCACACACCAGCTTTGGGGCTCTGTGTTCTGTAGGTAATAGGAAAAAATATCCTGACTATTCATTGTTGTAATGGAGTTGGGAGTGCTGAAGAGCTCGTCTGCTATGCCCCAGAGCTGTTAGCTCTGGTGACTGCCACACCCAGGTGAACCCTTGAGTAAGGGGACAGGGGCTTTGGGACAAGAAAGGGAAATGCTGCAGCAGTCAGGTGGGGTGGATGGAGCAGTTGCTGTGCAGTCAAATGTGGCACCTCAGCTCTGATCCATCAGCTTGCAGAAGGGGCTGTAGGAGGGATAGATTTTCAGGCTTCTGGTTAAACTGAAAATATTGAGGGAGTGGAAACATCAGATTCCTTCATTGCTGAGGATTTAATTTCTTGACAAATGAAAAACTAGGAGAATATAGATAGAACTCTGTATCCAATGTAGAAAATGTTTTGAGGCTTAAAAAATATTGTGTAAACATAGTAAGCAATTACAAATACTGGTAGAAAAATGAAGTGGAGGTATTGGGGTAATTTTAATAGCTTATTTTGGTTTATTGCAATGTATTGTTCTTCATCACAGGTAAGGCTATATCTGTGTATATATGTCCTGTGCCCTGATACATACTATCCCTTCTGAATGAGTTAATTTCTCAGGACAATGAGTTTTGTGGGGGAGTTTATTAACTCAGGTTACATAGCTACTGGTATCTAGAGTAGATTGGGTATTATTATATGAAACTAATTGTGTACCATACAGACATTTGAAATACTCTGACATCAAAATTCAGTTAGGCTAGACAATGTCTGAGAGTGTCAGTTTACAAAAAACAAGTCTGTTTCTGTATCTATGATACATTGAAAATTCATTAGGATTTCTGGAATTCAGAAATCAGAATTCTAACATCTAATTTGTATTTGTCCATAGAAATATAATTGCCACTCTCTGCTTTACCAAAACATTGAATAAAATAACTTTTATTGAATGAAAATCCTAACTTAGAGCCATGAGGTATTTGCAGGTTCTGAAGTGCTAATGATGAGTGCAGTGTTAATGATCTGGCAGATACAAACTCATGGATAAGTTTTTTCTCTAAATAAAGTAATCTCTTGAATTTCTCTAGTTAATGTGAATTGGTATTTCATGTTCAGGGATGTTAAAGCTGGCAGGCTGGGATTCCTTGCATTTTTCTGTTTGTGATTGTGGTGCTGATAGCCTAACTATGATCTTCCTTATGCAGTGCTGCTAGGAACTTCCAGTCTGAGTATTTCTAGAAATGAGAAATTATTGAGTCTCAGCACTTAAAAATGGCTTGTGTGCTTTTTAAAAAGACACCACCATCTCTGTTTTGTTGAATTAATTGTAGCTATTTTGGTGATGTCTGCGTGTGTCCAGTAAGAGCAGAAAATAACATTTTAATTTCAGGGATGTCTGTGGGTTGATTTTTAACTGACTGGAAACATCATACCTTTACCTCTTATTTTGTTAGGTTTTCAGTCCAGAATTGAAAGGACTATATTAATAATGTATATACATCTCAGTATAGTGCTGTGCAGATTTCCAGCTGAAATACCTTGGTCCTTAATTTGCAGCTTATGTTCATATACCCCGTGAGGAGCTCTGCATTAAATAAGTTTGACTTTGTGAGGTTTCTGGTATCTTTACCAGGACAAACTTGGGTTCTGCTGTTCTGTGAAGACTAATCCTTTCAGCCCAGAAGTACATATAGATATTGAGTATATCAGAAGGCTTTTAGGGATAATGCCAAGGAGGTCCAGAGGTATTGCTTGTTCAGGGACACAACTGAGAATCATTGCTAGGTTGTTATGTGTATCAGAGCCAAAATGACATGAAGCCTTTTAACTTTCCAGGCCAAAAATTCCCAAATGTATTTCTTGAAAGACTGATAAGGGACAGGGAGATGGTGGGACTCTGGCCAGATGTGGACTCAACTATGTGTGATCAAAGTGGGAAATCTACCCAGCTGTGCACCTTAACTATTCACACTCTGGGCCAACTCTTACTCAGGGGGATTTTGGGCTCACTTATGTCCCATGTTTCTTCCTCTTCTGCCTCCTCAGCAGATATGTGTTTACATCAAGTACTTGAGTGATGCTCTGTGACAAGAAATAGTACACTGACACATGGAATGATGGCTCTAAGTGTTGGGAGACCAAAATGTCTCCTTTAAGAGCATAAGGAAAGGTTGTGTATTGCAGGTACAATGCTTCTGTAAGCAGTATAGGCTAAATTTGAACTAAGTTGTGAAATGTCCTTGTAGGTGTGTGGAAATAGAAATGTGGAGCTACACAGGATTTTATTACAAAATCCGAATTAGTTCGTGTTGGGTGCTTCCCTGAAGAATCCATTTGTACACATTTTAAGGTATCTGTAAAGCAATAAGAAATTCTAATTTTGCCATACCCTGTGTGCATATAAGTATGGTGGATACACAGCTTAGCACTCCATTACAGTGTTTTCTTAAAATTCTGTACAACTGGATTTTGCTTAATCTGTGTTGTTTCATGTCAGAACATAAGATTATGGATCATGACATTATATATAGTGGAAAATGATTCAGAAGTGTCAGTTCGAAGGTTTTGGTAAAATTGCAGATTTTGTAGGTGAAAAGTAATCTTTACTACAACATAGTTTATAATTGTTTTGGGGATGTAAAAGCTCATCTTTTTAACTAGGTCTTTATTCAGATTAAATTTAGTATTTTTATAGTAATTTTATAAATATTGGAAATGTGCATACACATTTGTAATGCCAAACATTCCTGCTGATTCTAGATAATTTATTGCTTCCTACAGAAGTAGCTAAAGCTTCTTTCCCATGCCTGGGCACTTGAAAAAGGCCAGTTTGGATGAGGCTCTGAGCAGTCCGATCAAGTAGGTGGCACCTTGGCCCATGGCAGGGGGGTTCAAACTGGATTATCTTTAAAGTCCCTTCCCTCCCAAGCCTTTCTTCTTGACTTGATTCTCCTTGACTTGCAGGCTGCTTATTAAGTCACAGTGCACTTCTAAGCCATGCAACTGTCCTAACAAATTCTTCCCTGGGTTATATCTGGATATATTAAATTTGCAGGCTTGCTTTATTGAACAGTGAATGTTTTCTGATAGTATTCAGTGTTTTGAGGAGAGTGAAAAAAGTGGGACAGGTTTCTGTGTCATAGAGTACTTTGCTGCAGCTGTTATGTGAGTAACTTGTATGGTTAGTTGTGATTTTTTCCCTTATTCCTTTCTGCATAATATATTTTTCTTTAATATAAGTTGAGTTATACTAGCTGTCTATTGCTTGTATTATGGAATTACATGGGGCACAGGGTATTTGAATGCTTGATTCTGCCTGACCCTGATCATGCAAAAATGAGGAAAAATGAATTGTATCAAAGCTGTTACAGATAGTAGGATAAAAAAGAGTTTAATGGAATAGAATAATTTTGTTGGAAGGGACTTGCAGTGACTGTGTAGTCCAACTGCCTGATCAGTTCACAGCTGACCAAAAGTGATCTTGTGGATTTTGATTATGCTGAAGCCATTGCAGGAAGACCAGAATGAATACATAACTTCTGGTCTGTCCAGCTGTTGAAAACCCACAAGATATAATGTTAAAAGCATGTTAAAAAGCCAAACACTTCCTTTTTGCCCCAAAACACAATCAGCTTTTTTGTAATTTTGACCACATGTGCTTTCCAGTGTGAAAAATAGCAAAAGATTTCCCTAGCTCAACAAAGTTCAACAAGCTTTGCAGCTACTAATAATTTTCTGTATGTTCTTAAATATTTTTCAATATCTCCACTTAAAAAAAATTAGTAATTGTTGGAAGGAAAAGTGTGGAGTTGTGTTTTGTTAACTGCACTGAAAGCATATAATATTGGCAATATTGTCAGAAAAATCCCAAAGTGAAGCTTTAGTGCTGCATTTCTGTCTGACACTTTTGTAGGTACTCTGCCTCCTTACTGTGCGGTCCTTAAAATCATGCATTAGTCTCTTGTTTAGGAATATATTTGCTGTAGCCATAATCTTCAAAAAAGACCTGTTACTTTGAATACTCATAAGACTAAACCATTTGTTTCCACCAGGATGAAGCATCGTCAACTCCAAAAGCAGTCAGCATATATCACAGGTAATTCTCACTTATACAAACTGGGTTTCTAGGTTTAAATTGGAACTTTAGCAATGCTGAAGGTTCAAACCTGAAATTTAGGAACTTATATTTGAGAGTGGAATGGAAAGCCTTGAAGCTTTCTGTACTATTAATGTATAAAGAGTTCTCTCTTTTGGTTTAGGATGAAAGCAGTTCTGCATTTGTTTTAATCCTGAGTTTTCAAATTTTTAAAACAAATGCTGTGTTTTTTTTCATCTTTGAAATGTTTCTTTTTCTAAGGAAATCTGTGTTCTTAAATAAACTCTGGACATTATGTGTGGGCACACATACTTAAAATTCTTTGAAGAGTTGTTTTTAAGAGCATGCATTCCTTGTATCTTTGTCTGATTGCAAAGCTGCATAGTGGTGAATGACTTTGCTAGATGAACTTCAAAATCATGACCACTACAAAATGAGTAATATATGAGATACTGTTCAGAAAGAAAAATTATATTAAAATTCTGGTTTCTCCAATTGGTCTTTTAATACCTTCTTTCTTTTTCTACAGAAGTAAACACTGACACTACACCCATGAACATCAGGATATCTTTCAGTTTCGTTGCAGCTGGAGTCAGTGACTTCATACTGAAAAAGGTTGGTTTTTAGACTACAGACCATGACAGTTCGTAACAGTGAAGGAACATAAATGTTTGTGTGAGTAAATAGCCGTGTATACTTGTAGTACAGACTTGTCTGTATCTATGCATGCACAGGTTTAACCTGCAGCTGGCATGATTATGCAAAACATTTAAAGAATTCTATAAGCTTAGTGGAAAAGAAGTAATTCTGAAAAAATATAATAGCACATCTACTGGAAGATGAGAATAGTGTGCTTTTTTTAAACTTGAAGCGTTATTATTGGGACAGTAAAATAAAGTTTTGTGATAGCTGATTTTGGAGTCACTGATGCCTGGAATCTTACAATTGGGTAGTTTTGCCATAAAGTTCCCCTTTTAATCTGTTAATTTTAATGTTTAATCTGTTAATGTTCCCCTTTTAATCTGTTAATTTTACTAAATTACTTATGTTACAAATTAACTGCATCAGAGTATTTTAATTGTGTTTGTAGTAATTTTAAATATAGTTGCTGGGGATAAGTAATTTAATTATATTTTATCAGTAAGAAAGCATTAGCTCTGCTGTGAGTGATAGCCAGCAAGGCCATCTGCAATGCCTTTCAGTTCACTCACTCTGAATTGTTCAGATAAAGACTGTCAAGTGCTGCCTAAATAAGGAAGGAGCCGTGGTAGGGTTAAGTGCAGTGGAGGACACAAATGGAGCATTGATTCCAGGCATGCTGGAGGGTCTGAGCTGTTTCCTGCAGCACTGAACCTTTTAAGACTTTTCATTGTTTCCTGCAAAGTATTAAAATGCGAGTGTCTGCCATTCAGGATCTCAGGGAGGATGGAAATGGGGATTGGGAAGAAGAAAAGGTGAGTTAAACCCCAACAGTTTTGCAAAGTACTTATTTCCTTGTATTTTTCCTCTTTAGGACAATAAACCTGTAATAATTACCTTCCTCTTTCAGATGTTTCTCAAGCCTGTTATTGAGGACAGAAATATGGAACTAGCCCGAAAATGCAGTGAATTAATAAGTGATGTAAGTGATGACAGCTATTCGCACTCTCATATTTGCATTTCTTCTTTCAAATGCATTTATATTTATGATACATATTTTCTCAAATATGTTCAGTTTAGCATGTGCCCATCCAAGGCTCAAATAATAAAAGCCCACAAAATAATAGAAAAGCACAGATTACTTTAGTACCGTAAATTATCAGCCACAGAAGAATGAGCTTTTCAGAGCTCGTTTGGATGGTACAAAGCACAGGCCCTAGAAAGGGGTGTTTTAAAATGTGTGTCTCAGGCTGAGGATGTCTGCCCGGAGAACACCTTGGCTGCTTTCATCAGGAAAATGTGGTATTTTTTATGGTTGTAGCCTAATCCTATACAGTTTAATTGGCTTGAACAAAACTGAGTTCTAGTATACATAGCTGTAAGGAGGGAAGTTAAAAATAAAAGATAAATTTTTAATGTTATCTTTTGTTTGTCCTGATAGATGTCCAAAACTGCTCAGCACATTGTTATTGACTATGCTTATAGGACAAATCCACTCAAATGCTAGATTATCTTTTAAAAATATTTAGCTTGCTAATTCTTGATTTAGCTACTATAGATTTTTAAAACTGTGGATCAGTTATATAAACATTTAAACCTCATAAATCAGGTCCCAGACATTTTAAATTGGGAAAGACCTGATTGCTTCAATGTAACAGGATCAGATTTACCTTGATGGAAATTTATTTTTGTTTCTCTCTGGGATAGTGTATTGAGAAAAGTAACTTTGTCCCTTCATGGGTGCATGGGTGTAAGGAATGCTATTTCTTCTGTGAGAAAGCTGGCTGGCAGGAGAGGAGACCATTCTGAAGAGAGAGTGACTTGCTTCAGCAAATGTTCTAAAGAAACCAAAAAATGGTATCTGGTTCGTGTTGCAATATGATATTTAGGTTTGGGTTGTTGATCTAATAGAATACAGAATCTACATTTTAGGTATAAATTTTTAGGGGTTGTGTATCAGAAAAGAATAGTTAACTTAGAAGACCAGTATCTGGGATGTGAAAAGTGTTACAATGCTGGTTTGAAAGTGTGACTTGACAAGGTCAAAGTTTCCTCTTTCCTCTTGTCCATACACGTCCTACTTCAGTTTTCACAGAAAGAGTGCTGAAAATGGAATAGATCCTTAAGAGATGCTATCAAGATGACTCCTTTGTAAACTCAACCTACTTTAGGAAGCAGTAGAGATTAGTAATATTTTTACTGATAGATATATATGTGCTTTCTTTGGGAAAAAAGGGCATATGGTGTGTTAAGTGCCTGTCAATTCTTGTAAAGGCAAAAATGAAGATGGACCTGAAGCAATTATATGACCCAATATATATTTATTGCATTCATGCAGCTTCTTTCTAAACATGGTCACTCTTCTTAAAGAAAAAAACTTCTTGAAAAATGCTGAAGAAATCTTTCTTTAACTGAAAAGGAGTTATTACTCTGCTGTGTACCCATTAGGAGTAATGTTGGCTGTGGCTCTTAATTAATGGATAAATGGAGTGGCTGTATTTTCTTGGATTTTCTGCAGGGACTTGAGAGCTAAGGTGAATAGCTAAGTCAAGCCAGGCTTCTACTGCTTATAATGGTTCAGGAATATGGGCTTTTGCTGAAAACTTGTGATGCATTTAGCTTGCAAGTGTGTTAGATTTTCCTTGAGATATGTCAGGCATAATGGCAAAGTGTTATTAATGCTTTCAAAGCAAGAACAATATATAATGGTCCAGACCAATCTAATTTCAAAAAAGAGGCTCTTTGTTTAAAAATAACATCCAGCTTTGGTGCTTTATTCAGCCTCTGATGAAATCAGTGGGTTTTTTTTCATTGGCTTGAATGGAATATGCATAGAATATTAATTTTGTTTTGCAGAATTTTTTGCTATAATGGAATTTCTTATGATCAGTGAAGTCCTTTGTACCTGAGTATAAATTCCTCACCTTGCACATTTCATTGTGGAGACCAATAAATTGCAAGGAGTTTGCATTCTTACTTTCAATTTTTTGACTTGTTGACATTCAGAACTTCTAATATATTCCTTCTTCTTTTTAGCATGAACCTTTCCACATGTTACTATTTGTATGGATTTATGATTGGTGTACATTTGTATATTTTATTTGTACTGTGGTTTTATAGTGTTTTCAGTTTGGCCTGCAGATGACCTTGGGGGAGCAGCCTGTGTCCTTGCTGGCCACGAGACCGGGTGTTTGTCCTTTTCTAATGGGGGAGCTGTCAGCACATCTCCTCCATCAGAATGCAGAGCCAGGAGTGCACATGCCTGAGATACTGGGGTTGTATTATGCTTGCCCTGCATTCTTTGAAGGCTGACTTTAATTTGGCAGTATGGTTTTGAAAAAGTGTTACACTGGCAGTCCTTGGTGAATCTGAATTGCCAGTCTTGAGCTGTATGTAGGGGAATCTGTGAAGTGTTTATGTGCTCCCGTTCTTGAGAAAATCCCCAATTTCATTTGAGGTTGGCAGATGTTTGTTTGGAGGCTGTGATATCCCCTGGATTGTTTCTCTTGACAGTCGTTCCATTTAATCTCCCTTTATTATGAAATTTTATTCCACAGATGTTTTCAAAACTGTCATGTGTGTTTGATTTATATGAACTGCCTTACTCTCCAGGCCTTTTCTCTTCCACATTGAAATTGAGCTCATCCATTTGCTTGTAGCATATTTTCATTCTCTTCTTTGTTTTGATTATGTGGTGGGATGTTGTCAGTCCTGTTATAAGCAAAGATGGGAACAATTATAGAAGGTAATTGACCAAACGATCATGATCCTTTTTGGTAGAATGTCAGACACCGCCTTCTGAAGATTCTGCTGAATTGTGGTAATGAATGGTACCAGCACTTCTTTTCCTCTAAAGGAAAAAATAGTACTGCTTGATATTTATCTGTCCTTGCACAGAGTCCAACTTTGCTTGAGGATGTCTGTGTTGTAAAGAAAAGTTCAAAAAGACTTAGAGCCAGTAGTGAAAACACTGTGCCAAACTAACAGGGTTTTGACTACCTAATTCTGGGTGCAGCTGTTCTCCTGGACTCACAAATACTAGTCACAGACTCTAACTCAAGAGGACCTTGAGTTTGAAATTGCTGGAGATTACTAATATATTATGTATTTTAATATTAATACTATATGCCTGCCATTGTCTCTTGCTTTACTCTAGATTCCTATGGCCACAGAGAAAGGATTCTGCATTAGATGGATCTGTGGTCTGACACAGTCTTTAGTCTTATAAGAGATTATAAGTTCAGAAATGTAGGTTTGAAAAGTGAATACTTAGTGGAAGGAAGTTTCCTTTTGTTCTAGCAGAAAAGCTAGATAAGAAGGTTTTGTTTTTCTAAACAAAAATGGGTGTTTTAGCTACTACAGTTCTACAGTGGATCTTGGCAGGATGACTGTTCACATGGTTACACCATTGATGTTAAGATTATTAAAAATAGCTTTTGTGTGTAGTCATATTAAAGTTAGATGAGCATGTGTTCCTGAATGAAAGGAATGGTGACTGCTTGGATTATGCTGTTTCCATTGGAGTCTTTCCTTTAGCCCACAGTTTCCCTTCTGTTTTTCCCCCTGAAAAAGGCTGGTGAAACAGGCCATGGGTGAGATGAATTTTCTTGGTGAACCAGGAAGCTTTGGCTTAAAAATTGGATATCCTTGTTTTATAAAGTTGATCTTCCCATATAATATCCATTAAAAAAAGAAGTGCAGCTTGAAACCTGATGTTTTGGTGGTTGTCTAGGAATTTTAATCCATTTTACTGGATAGTTGTGCTGTGGTCAGAGTTAGTTTTATGATGAGACAGGAAGAAGAAAAGGATCTGGAGAGAACTATGAAAAATTGGGTCTTTAGTGAGCTATTGAGCTTCAGAAGCATATTGAAAGAGCAGTGGCTCCAGGCCATCGTTTGTAAATTCTTCCTATTTGTGTTTTTTCACAAGGCTTACCAGATCTGCTCAACCTAAACAGCATATTTTGTGGGGAGGGGTAAACCACTTGCAGGCAAAATTTCCTATTCAATATTTAAGACATCTGAATTTTCAATTACATACTTTGAAGAGGAATATTAACTTCTCTGCATGTTCATTCCATTCATTTGTTGTGTTTGGTCATAGTCAAGCTTTTGAACATCTTCCTTGCATCGTTTACACTAAATATGTTTTATAACTGCAGGTGTCATGACTTCATTATACTTATCTTGTTTCATTTTCCATCTTTCTGATTCCAAGCTATGTGGACAATACTGTAGCAGAATGGAGTTTGTTGGATCAGCATTTGACCAAACATTTTGTTATATGTTCTCTTGAAATTGTGTATTTGAGTCTGTATGCATTTTGTGGCTTCTATGAGTACTGTAACAAATGTGAATAATAAAGGATTAAGGAGGTGGCATTAGTCATTTATTGCTTTCAATTCTTTTGAAAGCATGGCTTCTACAGCAGAACAGTTTTGTTTCTTCTAGTCATGTTCTGTCATTCCCCCCAATTAAGAGATACCTTAGGAAGCTTTTGTGTTTGATTCTTGAATTATTGCTCTGCAATTAAAATGGATATAATTATGGTCAGCTTTCAGATGTCTGTGGATGATTTATCTAAGTTGTGAGCAGCAAGACTCTCTGTCTCTTCTGCCAGAGTCACAGCTTTACAGGAGTTCCTTCTGGGAATGCCATCAAACTCACCCAGTAGACAGCTCTGTAAACTCCCATTGCATGTGTGCGGGTTGGACAGGAAGTGCCTGCTCATATTTATAATAAAAATTACTTTTTTTGTCTGTTGCTCTGTGATTACTTGGGAGTATGATGTCACACACAGGTTACATGAGCCATTGGCTTTGTGAGTAAAGTCATGACACAGTAATGTTAGACCCATTGTTTGCCAAAAGGTTTTCTTTGAGAACAGACTAATCCACAAAAGCAGATGATATGATTTGGAAGTGATGTGAAGATTCGTCCAGTAGTCCAAATCTGAATGAGCTCTGTATCAAGCAAAATAGTTTCCTGTGTGAGGATAAACTAGTTGTGAATTTGAGGTGAATTTAGCATTATCTAATCCATTTTTCAGTAGACACAAACTTTGCTGTAGAAAGCACAGGAGCTGATTCTGTGTAAGCTGCCATCCTTCTCATAAGTTTTCCAACTCCCTGTAGAGGAGTGTACACTGGAACTTGTGATATCCATTAAGGATTCAGAGAAAGAGGATATTAAGGCTGCATAGTTCTGTAATGCTCAGATGCAGATCATATTGCTTCTGTCAGTGCTTGTCAGCAAGTCTAGAGTGCATAAATTCGAGCTGCTGTTAGGCAGAATGTGAAAATGAGGTTAGAGAAATGGTTGCAGATAATAACCATGAAAGCTTAGTACTAAATAATTCAATTTGCATTGATCTAAACAATTTTCTGTACAAAGAAAGAAATGTAACTGAAAACATCTAAAGCTATCCATGCAAAGTGTCTGTCATTAAAACTTACTCCATCTCATCATAATTCACCATCTTTCTTCATGCAGTTTATATATAATGAATGTTCCTATATGTTAACCATGTCCATAGCTTTTATCCTTCTTGCATTCTCACTAAAAAAACAATAACTCTAACTTTAGTAGCACTCATGTGATTATTATACCTTGCCCCATTGTAAGAAAAAGGTTGGTTGCTTAAAAAAAAGTCCCCGTCCCCCCCCCCTCCCCCCATATGTGTCATAGTGTTCTGGTTGTTTTTTTTTTCATGGTTTTGTGTATGCATACATATTTTAAAAAATGCCTTAATTTATAATTTGCTTGGTCTTAAAGAAATTCTGTAATTACTTGAATGTCATGACTGTTGGGTGCTTTGTAGGCAATAGTTTGGCAGTGGCCTCCTGAATTTATTCATGTAATTCTTGGATTCATAAAGGGGCATTTAATGATATTATACAGATTCTGTGCTTGCTAGGTCTGTGTTAGAAGTTAAACAATTTTTATCTTTGAGATCAAGGATTAAGGAGATCAATTATTCGATTCTTTTTTTAGAGATACTAAAACATCTACGACAGTCATGAAAATGTGCTCTAGATGTAGAGAAAAATCCTATCTTTTTCATCTATATTATTGAAGAGTTCTGTGACTTTTATATAGCCCTGGTAATGTGCGTGAGAACTCATAGCTTCCCTTTATGGTTTAATTTGATCCATCCGGAGGTATTTGCAAACTGCTCTAGTACAGTGTCCATGAATAAAATAAAATAGAAATTTAAAGAAAAATAACCAATGTTTGCTTTTCTGTGTGTGTGTTTTTAAGAACAATTAAAGTTCTTTTTCTCCTCTTTGTAGATACACTATAAAGAAGAGTTCAAAAAATCTAAAGGCAAGTGCATATTTGTACCTGACACCCCGCAGCTAAAACATGTGAAAAGCCTTGGTGCTTTTATTTCTGAGGTAAGATCTAAAAGGCTGAAAAATTTTCTTGGCTTCTATCCTTCCTAAAAACTCTTTCAGTTGAGTACTGTGATTTTTAGCAGGGGAAGGATGGCTTATTTCAAATAATAATTCTGTTTAAAGCTGAAGTGAATTCAAAAGCTGTAATTAGTGTATACTGCAATGTGAATAATAATAATAATTTGGAATTACATGACACTTATTTTGGGATTTGAAGATACTTTATTAATGGTTCTGAGCAAGTCCTAGCTATCCCATTTTATGTGTGGATAACCTGAGGAATAGGAAGCGAATGTTACTTTTTCTGCAGTGATGAGGTTTGAAAATTACACCTGTGCAAAATTTCCCTGCTGTGGAGATTTCACAGCCTGATATCAAACAGGAGACAAGGAAAATGTTTCCATATTATCATCCCTGTCCTCCTTCAGGAGCAATCAGGTCAGTGCCATCTGTGGGTTGCCTGACTACTTGCCTACTTGCATATCTGTCTGTCTATCTATCTGTCTGTCTGTCTATCTATCTGTCTATCTATCTATCTATCTATCTATCTATCTATCTATCTATCTATCTATCTATCTGTCATCTCTGCATACCTGTGCACACACACACATGCAACTGTGGTGGCAAAGAAAGATCAGCAGCTTCCAAAGTGTCAGAGCAGCATTTACTGCCAGCTCTTCATGTCCCAGGTACAAGGTGCTGTAGGATTGCATCTCTGATTGTTTTCCATAGGCAAGAACAGCAGCAGAAGTTGCACCTGAGAGGCAGCAGCTTTGTTTAGGATTCACTAGTTCTGAGTGATTTTTCTGTTACTATGGCCCTTGAAAAAAATAAAATTTTGGTGCCTCATTTTTTTGCTACTTTTATGATTATAATAAGAAAGTCCCAGTATCGCTGTCTGAGGTTACATAACTTATACACATTCTAAATTCTCTTTCTGATATACATAAATTTGCTGTGTAGCTTTCAATATAAATGCCTCTAATGAATGCTATTACTGTATTTATCTTTCTGTTTTCTGAGGAAAGGCATGTCCCAAGGGAAGTAAATCTGATGTAATTGCACTTTATAAGAGACAGACTATTGTAATCTACAGAAATGCATAGAGAATGTTTATCTAATCTATCTGATTCCAGAGAATCTGCTGCTAATCATTAATCAAAGATTTAGAGATATAAAAATATTGTAAAATTTAAAACCCTATAGGTTTGATATTAGCACACTGCTGAGCACTCTGTCTGTTTATTGCAGCATTACCTGAAGGCAGTGATGTGATGGATGGTTTATCTTGTAAATGACTGACCTCTAGTGTCCCATCACCTGTATTTGCAAATTTGGACACTGATGTTCTTAACAGCACATCCACTGCAGTGAAAAAGAGACCTGTGTTTTGGGGAACAGAATCAAATGTTACAGCAAATTATTGATATGTATACATATAATCCATTTGGGTAATTAGCCTCTAATCAAGAACTGTGTATTTCACAGTAAATAAGTGACATTAGACAGTACAATTGAGAATATTTTTTGGTATTTTTGATTACTTTCACAGCAGTTTTATGTTTTATGAACTTGGAAGACTTAGATCTGAAGCAAAAGCCTCACATATTTTGAGGTATTGTTCTGGTATCTTTTGTAAAACCCCTTTGTGAGGATCTGCCAGTACTGAATATTGGAGGAAACACAGGATAAATAAAACATAATTTAAAAATGAGACTGTAATATGAACAGATGAAACAGAAATTATGGCAGACAGGCAAACTTCAGTGTTCCTCCCCTTTCTAGCTACATTTAATTGCTGCTACTTATTAGTTGGTAAAATATTTATGGTTTGCCTCTCATTTGCTCACATTGTTCAAGACTCTGGAAAAGAGAAAGAAGAAAAGTAATTTTTAGATTTGGAAATTATCTGAGAAAGGATAGAAGAAACTACCTTGCTTTTTGTATTTCCACTAAAATTATTGAATTGAATTAGTACATATTTTGCATTGCATTGTGAAGTAGGCAGATCCCTATAAAGTATTATTTAAAGATGTTTTTGCTAGTAAGTTAGTGGCAGTTAATGAAATTTTTCCAGTTCTGTTCTATGCCATTTTACTTACTAGGAAAAATAAGTACTGTGTTTACTGTATCTTCATTTTTGCATTTTATGTCACCTTTTTCACCTCCAGGCGAAATATAAAGGAGCTGCTAAGAAAGACCTTTCCAACTCTCTCTATCAGCAGATGCCAGCCACAATTGACAGTGTATTTGCGAAAGAATTGATGCAGCTTCAGAGCAAGGTAAGACTTTAGAGTTGCAAAAATGATTTTTAGATTAATTGTGTATCAGAATAAGTACACTTTAAACAAAATACCTGAATGGACACTTGATTGTCTACTTGATTTATTTGGGTGAGCTTATAATCCAGAATTTATCACCATAACTTCTTAAATTCAAAAACGACTCATTTTAAAATGTTGGCAATTTTACTTATGTTTATTAAATATGCATTTAAAAGTTGGTGGTGCATTCATTGATCTAGTGAAATCTGTGGGTGCAATAAGGAATTACTGAATTCAGTGACATTGCATGGTCCTTATAGAATGGGTGACTCTTATATAACTTTTCCCAGTTGATGTTGAATTAGCTATATAAAATATTTGATGCTGAAGGCAAAATAAAAGAAAACTGCTTTAATGACTTCTAAGGGCACTTAGTAGGAGCAGTAAATGTATTTCTGATGATCTGCATACTACTACTTACAACAAATTATATACCATTAAAATATGAAATCAAATGTATTGAATATAGTGTAAAGCTTGTAAACAACCAGTAAAATAGTAAATTCCAGTTCAGTTGCCTTCAAGGACTCAAAAATACAAGACCCTAAAAGTAGGCAGGTGACCCTTCCCTTCCACTGACCTCAGTGGAATTGTGAATGTTAAGCATATGTAATATGAATGAGGTTACAGATTTTCATTGTTACTAATGAGAATTACATTGGATAGATGTTCATGGCTTTCGGTCCACCGAGCATTTCCATGGTTTTCTTGTTTTTGCTTTCCTCTCTCTTAAAGATATCAACTACATATAGTTTGAAACAGCCAGTGGGTGAAGGGAACACGCTTCTAAATCCATAATATTGATTGTATCTCAATATGCATTCTTTTAATGCAGTGACACTTATTCAGACAAAGGAAAATATTAATAAAAAAAGAATGGACTAAGATTTCAGGACAGTTTGTGGAGAAATGTTTTGATATAAAACATTATTTTAATCAAGACTATATTAAGCAAATACAATAACACATTTTAATTTTCAGAATTTGAAAAGGAACATATATACACAAGTTAAAGCACCAGAGTAGCTGAAATGACATTAATGTGGCATTTCATTGTAAAGTGAGTGATTAGAGGAATTATAGTAAAAAAAACCTGGGAATTAAACTTGTATAACATTTTTGAGCCATTAGCTTGATTTATAAAACATTAGTTAACTGTTTTGCCACAGATTTACTCCCAAATTCATTCCAAATTATTACATTCTATATTAATTTACACAAATGAGGTTAATTAACATTGGTGACGTGGCAGAAAAGATAAATAACTGAAACTAAAAATGAAACCATTGGTTCATCAAAAAACCCTTTCAAGGAAAAGACTGACATTTTTATTTGGTAGTTTTTGAAGGCTTTCTTCAATCATCCTACAGTTCTAGAGAAAAAAATATGCATATAGTGTGAGTTATATTTAAGCAGAAATTTTTCCCACAAAATTCATACCAGCCCCTTAGGAGTAGATGCATTATAAATCATAATATACCATAAAACTTAAAGATATGCTGACACATTTTTCCAACTTGTGGTTTACTGCTGCAATGGACCTGAATTTAATGCTACTTTGAGAGAGCTCTCAGGGGATTTTCTAGTGAAAAATCTTCTCCACAGTATTCAAATCTAATCCATATTGTGCCTATCACTGCAGTACCTAAGTAGCTAATACAAGGAATTTAGATTTCATCTGGGTCAGGATGTGGCAGAGGGGGTTTCTGCTGCATCTGTCTAGCTGGGATTGTGAATTTACAAGTCATCATTTCAGGAGGAGACTACAGATATTCCATAGGAAGGAGAGAGAACAGCACCAGCTGGCCATTGCTCCAGCTCTGCTCCAAAAAGGCTGCTGCAAACACAGAATTGCAGTCTGTTTCTGAGTTGTAGTAACCTGATTTTAAAATAGGTGTCGATTTCCCGAGAGGTGGAAAATATGAGTATTTGTCCTCCCTACCTACATTAGAACAAATTTACACCTTTGACTCCCTTTTTGTGCTTTTTGGATGCAATTCTGGACTGGAATACTCGGTTCTCTCTTCGAGATGCTCAGGAAAGCCTCAATGCAAGACTTCCTGCTGGCTTTTGCATGAAACCCATGTTTGCTCTTTTGTGTTTTATGTAGAACTGGCATGAAGAAGGAAATAAATACCCATAGAGAATGCATCTATCCAAGATTGCCCCCCCCCCAAAAAAAAAAAAAAAAAAAAAAATCCCAATGCTGTTTCTGGGAAAGAATGTTTCAGGAAAATGAAAAAGAAGTTTCACAGCCACACGTACTTGGGTGGCTTTTATAATTTAAATTTTTTCTCTCTTCACAGAAAATTTGACTGTGGCCTTCTAAATGCCTTTCTTGAGAGTGAGAAACCAGATTTCCTCCCTCTCTCATTTTTGTCCTAGTTGTCCCCAGGGTAAGCGAAAAAGAGGAGAAGTCCCTGTCATCACTGAATAATTTCACTCTCCTTACCAGCCTACAAAGCTCTCACCAATTTCCCTCTTTTCTGCAGTGAAAAAATAAATTTTATGAGAGCAGTCTAGGTAGGAAGCCTTCATCTTGATTTTTCTAAAAGGAAATGGAAATGTTTTGAGAAATTGCAATATTCCAGTAGAAAATATTGCTGAAGGAAAATTCCTGATCATTGCTAGCTCTGTGTAAGGTCTTTTTCTTGTCTGAAGATCAGTATACTGAATACTTCGTTATGTAAAACAATATTTTTTTAAATAAGGTGTCACAAAAAAATGGTAAAGGTATTTAAAATTGCTTGGGGAAGTAATGTTGAAAAAAAGTAAGTACTTCATCATTTTTTTCATCACTTTATTTTTTGCCATAAGAAGTAATTGCACTGTTTTTCTTCATATCTAAAAGGGATAATGTAAAGCAAATTGAAGGCAGTTTAATTTTCTACTTTGCACAGGGCAATATCTCAAAGAGTCAGTGTTGAATGGTATTTCCTGTTTCTTTATAAAGGTGATGAGCCAAGAGAATCTTAAGCAATGTTTTCAACTTCCAGAGGAAGTTTCAGAGGGTTTTTTATTTTTACTAAAATAAAAATTTTGTTGTTTATTGCATAATTTCCAATCATATTACACATTATTAATTTTTGATGTAATTTTAAGTTTTTTTATGGTAGAAAATGTCATATTCAAGATTTCTTCTCTTTTATTGTGGCAGGTATTAGTCTTCTGGACTTCCATATTTCTGTTTTACACAAATACATTGGATAATCTAATTCTCTATATGGAGATTAAAGCGATGTTTTTGGTGTTCTTGAACATTTCCTCCTATGAAATCCTACTTTGTGGATTTTAAGTTCAGAGCACATCTTACTGACTATAAATGGAAGTAAAAATGAAAACGTAATAGTGTTTAATGTATGCCAGAACAGGGGGGCAGTCAGAGCTAGGTTAAAAGAACACAAAAACCTTCCTTAATGCAGCTTCCTATTGACACACTGGTGTAAAAGAGAGAAGAAAAATAAAAAATGAGTACTAACAAATTGGTTCAATCTGAAGTCATACCTACTTAAATAATTGCCTTGTATTTCTCAAGTTAATAAATGGCACCACTACAGGGTAAAGGTTATGTCAGTGACCTATAATGCTTGATCTCTGTGTAGAGTAGTTTCATATGTAGATTTGATTAAGGAAATACAGTTTAGCTAAAACTTGAAAATCATCATAAGTTGAGAGAAAAATGTATGCATACTAACCTATGAAACAATGTTACTAAGAATATTGATGAAATAATGATAAATATTTTTTCATGCTTGGACGTGATTTACAAATCTGGGAATAGTTCTGCACTAAACTGTCCCAAACTATACTAGTTTTATACTAGTTTTGGCTAGGCAGCCATTGAACCCCTCCTAGCCCAGGATTGCAACAAGACTACTTCAGTGAGTTAATGAAAATAATGGGAAAATATAGGAAGAACAGATGCCAAAGCAAGTGAAATATTGCTCCATTAAGCTAAAGAAATGGTCATCTTTTCCCAAGACAGCGGATACTCATAATTTCTGTTAAATTTCTCATGCTGAGGGTTGATGTGTTACTTTGTTTTCATATCTTGGTTACATAGCCCATTCGCCAAGGGAAAAACAGAGCTCTTGAACCAGCAAAACGTCAGTGTAATAAAATATCTGCAAATTAGTAGATTTTGGAAGTAACCATATGAGTCTTCTGTTCATAATGGCATTAAGTGGTGAACATTTAAAAGTGACAGTGTAAGCAAGGAGAATTAGCAAAAGAGTTTTTGTGGCATATGTTTGTATTGTAATTCCACTTTTGTGGGGAATAATTTGTTAGTGGTCCTTCAGTCGTGTTAAAGATTATGTGTTTTTCCATTTGCAAGATGTAACCAGTGTAGGCAAGTTATGGACTCTTCATTTCACTGTCAGTTGTGTTTGTTCCTGCAGAGGGCTGATTGTGTTAGACTGGATAAGGAGGTGGCATATTTTAAGGTTCCTGATTTGATACCTGTGTTCACATAGTAGCAGTGAAAAATTACCCTTCCCCCCTTCTTGTCTTAATCTCTCAGTCTGTATATAATTTTGTAATCTGAGATAGTCAGGGCAGATACTGACATATTGCTTTGGGCACACTGCTCTGTAACTCAGATGAAATCTTACTTTAAACAAAAACAGATACAGCATTTTCTCACAATTCTTGTATCCTGTCCTAAAAGAGTCTGAGTCTCTGTAGTTGAGAGTTTCCGTCTCAAAACTTTCACAGTATTCTTTTATTGCTGTCGTGGGTTTTTGTGTCAGTCCTTTTTCTCCTGATCAGCTTTCTATCTTATTTAATACTTGCTGTTTTCTTATGGATTATTTTAATGCTTGCTCATGAGAGCTATTAGAAAATGAATTTTCTTGATGCTTCCTACTTTTTAGGCATCAAAACCTAGTGAGTTTTCCCTAATATAAGCCTAAGAGCTTCTGACAAGGACAAGTGTAAAATCAGCTTTTCAGGCAGTTGTAGTATGTGAGTGTGTGTATGTAAGTATAACACAATACAGTGGAAGATGGATGAGTGCCCAACATTGAGTTCCATTTCTATTATAAAAGTAAAGGTGTTTATAAATTCACAATTCAATTCCATTTTCATTTACCATGATGACAATTGAATGTAAATATTATTTTTCTTTGTGAACCTGGGGCTAAGTCAAAATGCATGTTGTGCTGTTTGCTTCCCAGCAGTGGAAGAAATAGAACTTTTGGCAATGGGTATATAATAAACAGTAAACCTGTTTGTTTATGACAATTGCATAAAATATTTTTTTCCTCTGAAAATGGAAAACAATTATATAGCTGATTGCTTCAAGCGTGTTTAAAAAAAAAGTTGTTTTTGATTATGTTTTCCCTGGTTGTCTTCTCACCTTATTAAGCTTAATTTTCTGTGTTTGTGTATTACTGTTTCTTTCCCCTGTCTACTCATGCATCTGTTGCAATAATATATGCTGTGAAATCTCACTGCTGACTTTGCCTCATATGTCTCTGTTTTGGGTGGAAGCTGCTCTCATCTCAGTATTCTGGATCCATGAAGGAGTTAAATTATTAAGTTTCTTCCTGAATACAGGTAGACTATGCCACTAGGTTTAACCTAGCTCATGGTATTATACGTGCTCTTCTCAGGTCACAAAAGTATAATGTTGCTCTTTTTAGGTTCTCTATAAACAAAAACATGATGCTGAGAAAGGATTTTCAGACTATGCACGTATGAGGGAACCTCCAGATGTTAAACATGCCATGGAAGTCAGTAAACACCAGAGTGATGTAAGTACTCCCCCATCTGAAATGGGTGTGCTTGTTTTGGGTAGATACATCTGTTACAGCTTACTGAAATGAATTGGGCATGGAATATTTCCATATTTCCTTAGTTGCTATTTTTTATTAATTATTTGCTTTGAAGTAATTTAGGACATGGTATGTGTATAAAATGTGCTATGAGTAACAGTATGTGAATTTTATTATGAATGCAGTAGGAAAGTGGTAGTTACTGTTTTTCAATAGCAACTAAGTGCTATCACTTTGAAATAAAATTGCAGGCACAGGTTTTCTGAATTCACTTGTAGCTACTTTTGAAGTGTATAAAATTATTTGTTTAAATGAACACCAGTGTTGTTTCAGTGTATCTGCCAATACTTGGGTAGTTCTTCAGGATTGCTGTGTAGAGGAGACAAGTGTGCTGTTTCTACCCTGTTCTTGCACATTTTTATGCATATGAAGAAGTTTGTTCCTATCATGAATATGTATCAAGTGAATTTTCCAAATAACTTAATAGACTTATATATTATTTATTTTACAGAATTTCAGCCATAATGTTCGATTTGATGTCTGTGCTGGTTTATACCATTTGATCAAAGTATTCATTCTTGTAGTTTTATTTAGATAACTTAAAAATAATTAGGAGTAGTTAGCAATATTTTGAAAGTTGATTGCTTTATTTTTTTTTCAGTTGCTTGTTATCTTCTTGAAGTTCTGAAGGTTTTCACAATATAAAAGCCTAATAAAACTCTAATTTCTTATTAGAATCAGGTCAGGTTTGATTTCATGGTCAAGCTAGCATTTACTAGCTCAATGCATCATTGCTTGGGGCAGAAATGCTGCCCAGATTAGAGTCTTGAATGATACAGATACAAATTTGAAGAAAAATTTATATTAGTTTTAGGTTTTGCAAAAGCTTACTTGTGAGAAAAAATTTTAGGAAAAGATTGGTTAAAATAGTGATGCCATTTTAAGGAGTACACAAAGCTTTTAAGAACAGCTGATGTGTAACCTTAAAGGTTTGATGCAGTTCAATTCTTATTTAGGTAACCAAATCAGTTGAAGTTGGCATGTCATTTTACAACTCTTTTTTCTTAGATAAATGGGATATATGTTTGCTGCTAACAGTGTAGAAAACATAGCTAGGATGTTCATTTTAAATTATCTTAAATTTACCCCATTGTCCCTTATGAACAGTGCAACAAACACTCTTAGGTTATGGAGGCTGAAAACTAAATGTCAGTGCTAGATGTATGTCTGTGTGCAGAATCTTGACAGCTGGCTGCTGATTAAAAGGCTGCTGGAAAACTTCAGGGAAGCATTATGTTTGAAGAATAATTTTTTCTTCTGCTGGGAAATACCTGCAATGGAATTCCCAGCAGTAATTTGCAACCTGCCTTGATTACAGAATTCCCTCTTCCTGTCAAACACTGTCCATTTCTGCTGTTGGAAGCATCAGGGTGTCACACTGACAGAGCTTAGGAGCTGGGAATGTGAATGCCTCTCCCCAGAAGCAAGAGGTTTTTTATTTACCTAGCAGTAGGAATGATGGTGAGCTGCTAGAAAAGGGAATAATTCTGGAAAGAGAAATGTGAATCCCTCTCAGAGAAGGAGCTAGGAGGGACTAGGAGGAATATGAGACAAGTTCCTGTGGCAAATTCATCATAGTTTGAGGGTTAGTATGCTAGTGCAAAACCTATTCCCCTTCTACAGCTGTATATCACCTGCTAATAGAATTAAGGAGAGCAGGTCACAGATGTGAGGATAAATGAAATTCAGTTGTTTCATCTTTCACCCTTAAAACAAGCAGAAAAAGAGAAAAGGAAATGAAGGAAAACATGGGAGGGAAGGATGTTTTGATAAATGAGAACTTTTAACAGCATGTTAGAAATAATGAAAAAATATGACAGAAATTATTTTCAGCCTGAGCAAACTTCAAAAAATCAAATAAGTCATCCAAATGCAACACGAAACTCTAACCAGTTAGTTCAATGTGTTTAAGAATGGATTCTTTCTGGTTGCTCATGATTAACTGCAGTGAAATGGGTAAATAACTATCACCCATAAAGGACCAAGTGATGTAGGTCTGGTTATTCAGCAGAAGCACACATCTCTTGTGGGTAATATTTGGGCATCATGGTGAATATCTGTGGATTTCTTCTTTTGTATGTGCAGGCTTAATTAAGAACCATGTGAGTTTTCATCTTGGAGTCAGAACGTGGAACAGCGAGCATCCCAAATATGGAGCGTTTGTCTTTCCAAACTATTTCAGGGTATCTGTGTAATCACAGCTTTGAAAGTGCAGGGGAAAAGAAGGGAAACTACTTGGCAGGTAGAAGGACAAAGCTCTTTTATCAACTGTTCAGCACAGTTTACCTGTGGGAGCAGAATGCATGTTTACCTACAATGCTCTGCCAACTCAATTCAACCTGGACATGGAGGGTCTGAATCTAAGAGGATTAGGATGTGTTTCAGACTATTTACTCAGCCTTAAAATAAAGCTGACATTTATACTCAACTCTGTGAAATGTGTAATTTCCTTTAAAAATGAAAACTGTATTCAGCTCACCATACATTTGCGCCGACATTTTGAAACTGTCGTGTGCTGTAGGCCTTCACACCACTTTGAATATCATTAACATTCTGGGCATGTTAATGGGCATCATTAGTATGTTTGGGCAGAAACTAGGTAACAGGGAAATACTGTAAAAACTCCTGAACAATGTGATGATGTCTAATATAATAATTTTTCTCTTTTTTATACTTAGACTGAAGAAAATTGCTCTCAAATGAACACAAGTAACTTTTCTAATGACAGGAAATATACTTTAATAAGAATTTAAATAATGCTTGAAGGAAAGCATGTTTATCCAAACCAGAGTACTTTTCTGTATAAATTGTGTTTTGTGTTTTGTGAAGTGAATGTTAATGATGTGACTATGGCACACAAAGTCATTTTCAGAAGAGCAAAGTAGAGAGCAAATATATACTTTGTCTCTGCTTAGCTGATCAGATATCTCATCTGGAAGTTGCCAAACGTGAGACCAAAACTAAGTGATGGTCTTAAAACAGTGTCATGTCACATTTTTGCTTTATGTGTATATTTGAGTATCATATGAATAGCAGAATGTAGTTGAATGGTGAAGTGACATGACAACTAAATTTCTAAAGTAAAGAAACTGTTTGCTAGTTGTATCTATGTGGAAGCTGCATGTAGCATTTGATGAAGATACTCAAAGCTGTGCATCACACTTTTGTCTCTTCCATGACCTGGTGCATCACTGGGCCTTTTGAATAGCAAAACAAATATTTTTACAGCAGTTTAAATGTTCTGCTTTGTTAAAATGACTGATTCTCCTCACAACATTACATGGTATGAAGTAAGGATGTGGTCTTCTGATTTTACAAATAAGAAAACCACAGCGCATTCATATATGGACCTTTAAAAGGCAGTTTGCACATCTGATTTTAAAGGCGGGTATCTTTTATACTTACCTACAAAGAGTGCTTTTTTAGAAATGTTAGTTGACAGCTGGACAAACTTCTGATGTATATAGATACACTTTCCACTCCACATGAGGTCAACGATAATTTATATGTTTCACTCACCCATCTAAATTTGAATTTTTAAGATGTCTATATTGTATTAGGAGTAAGTTATTTTTGATTTTCAGGATACAGTGCAGTCACAATCCACACACACAGAAAAAGTACATTATTTCTGATAAGACCAAATCAGCAGATCTTAAACTGGATGTGCTTAAATGCCATCAGTAGCATACCCAAATGTTATTGTTTGTTTTGATGTAGATCACAGTAAATTCAGGCTTCTTCTGTCTCTCTGTTCAGTATCTGTATTAGGAAAATCACCTTTCTGACTAACTTTCTGCTGACAGTGGTTGTCAACAGTAGGTCCCACTGGACCACTTCCAACTGGTGCTGAAAATGATGTTTACTCCTGGTGTAATTGGGACCAATCAATTTTAAGGCCCGTTACTGGAAAGGATGACTGCATCAATCTGTAGTGGGCCAGAAATGTGTTTGTCTCTTTTACACAAGCCGGAAAACAGTTTTCAACATCATTTGAGCAGGAATTAGAAAAGCTGTTGCCAATGATGATTGTCACCAGCTAGTCATTTTCTTAGTGTTGATGGACCCCGAAGTGTAGATGAGAGGAAAGAGGGCAGAGACACAGCTGAGAGGCCATTACTTAGTGGACTTAACAGCTCTTAGAAAATACTAATCAGGGGCAAAGAGTGAGAGACAAATTCTTATGAAGACAGGTGTGCCTGACTTCTTGCTAAATCCTTAAGAGGGCAAAATGTGTTCATAGCTGCTTGTGCATATTTGAGTAATTTATTATGTATTGTTTGGAATAGTTTTGGTGTTGGAATAAATGAGAGGATAGAAGATTTCAAGAAAGGTCTGAATCTCTTAAACCCAGGTTTGCTTGGCTCACCATGTAGAAGCTTCTGTTTGTTGATTGACAGTCTGAGATGTTTTACAGCATTGTTAGAAATCTGTTTACTTTATGACACTGAAGTGCATTCCACTATTCCTGTAAAGTGAAGCATCTTCCAGACCCTGCTGGAGTAACTATTTCATCATATTTATCCTCAGTGGACCTTATGCATTTTATAAGAGCTCGAGGTTTGGCCCTGTTAAAATCAGTCTACTAATTATGAGCATATGCTCCATACTTTGCAAAAACCAGTTGCAATTCAGAGTATGTAATTGCATTTGGGATTAAAGATGAGAAATTATTTTGTTCCAATTATTGCTTCACAATAATATTCAACAACGTAACCACTTTTTATTGTAATTTCAAGTTGGTAGAAACCCACTTTAAATGTAGTTGGTATCTGTAATTTACTGTTTTCAGCTTCAGAACTCAAGATGGTATATTTTTTTTCCCTTTTAGTTGCTCCTTCTTGTTTGCTTGCATTTCCCACTGGTTGGCCATAACTCTCCATCTAGGTCTTTCACTGCTGCTCTAAAATTGTTATCTCAGTTACTTTTCCTTTGCAAAAGTCAGCTGGAACAAATTTTTTGTAGACCTGTGGTCCTCATGAAGTGGAGCAATTCTTGAGCCTTTGTTGATTGTTTTTTTAGGTAGAGCCTGAGCGACCCTTTGAAGAGAAGATTGAGTGAGGCCATTGTATAATGTCTGGAAATTCCAGTCAGGGTGTGAGCCTCTTGGCTGAACCAGCTCAGGACAAAAGATGGCTCCTTCTCTGGGTGCTTCTGCTGTTTCCTTTCTTCTGTTGCTTTTCCCCTTTCATGGGCTTCTTCGCTTTCCATCTTCTGATGCCCATGGGTGCACACACCAAGCTGGTTGCTTTGCCCTGTCAACATCTGTTCCCCTGCTCTCTCAGAATAGCTCTGGTTTTACTGTTCTAACATAGCACTATTAAAAAAAAAAAAAAAAAAATCACTAGATGGAACAGAATAGCAGCTGTGTAATAGAGGCCAGCAGAGTGTCCCAATGGGAGAGGGTCAGCATCCAGGGATTGAGGTTATTCAGGAAATGGGAAACATATTTTTTCTTTCTTTGGCCTACCTCTGACAAACTACTGTTCTGCTGCATAACATTTTTATTCTCACTGGAGTATGACAAGCTGCAGAATGGAGCAAATATATATTGCAGACATTTGTAAAATGCTAGATGACTTTCCCTCAGACATAAGTAATAGGTATACTGGTTTAGGTGCAGGAAGAATAATAATTCACTCAGGGAAAGATATAGCAATTGGCCTTGCATCTAATATAATTGGAAATGGTGAAATATAAAGGACTGTCACTGTCTTATTTCTCCCCCCCTTCCTTTCCCCGAAATTAACCACAATCCATTATTTCATGTACTATATGATCATGTCATTTGGGAGCAATAAGTGACCACATTTCCTCAACTTTATCACCACTGTTCTTGATTCTCTGATGTTAAATTCACTACATTCCTAATTTCTATTTTGAGCACATATGCTGGCCCTTAATTTGCAATTTACATGGATCATAGGGTGCTATTCAGAAACCTGTTTCTGCTGCCTTTGTGGTTTTCACCTCACCTCATGTGGTCATTAGGATGAACAGCATATAATTAGCTAAATTCATGTACAGTCCTGAATTGCAAATGCTTCTCTCTACCTCTAGTTTCTTAAAAATTAGAGAAGATCTAAACATAACTAAAACAAAAGTTCCAATGGTTTACATAAGCTGTAAGAATCAACTTTTGTTTTGTATGTATGTGATAATTTGGGCTGAATGCATCGAACCTATTTATTTGTTTCTTTTATTAGTGATTACACTTGTGTGTCATGGCAGATTAAAAATTATAAGATCTATTTGTGGGCAGGCAGCCAACAGTGAAGCCTGTTTAGCTTGTCTGCTTAGCTGAAGCCATATGGACACAAAATTACTTTCCTGTTGCATGTAAAATATTTGCCAAAAAGAATTTTTTTTTTCAGTTTCTTTTTGCAATATAATTTTTATGAAGTATTTTTGTCACTGACTGCTGCAGTTTGAGTTTGTTGCATTGTACTCAGAGTGAAGCTTTACACTGGAAATCGGAGCAGAGGTTATAATAAGAAACTTCAAGCTGAGAACTTTCTTGCTGGTGAAATACTATCTTGAGTGGTTGATTAACTTTGTGAAGCAACAGAAGAAAATCTAAAAGATTTCCCAGTAAAGGACAAAATGTTACTTTACTTTCTCTTTCCTCTAAACTTTATTTTACGTTCTTCAGCTTCTGCCTGAAACTTTAATTTGTCAGTCACTTTTGAATACCGGGGACAGAATGTCATTAAGAATAATTCAGTAAGACAGCCCTTGGAAATTGGCTTAGATTGACACATGTGCTAGAGCAGGAAAAAGTTGACAAACCTTGAAGAGGGAAAAGCAGGATAACTTATGGAGCTCTATAATGTTCCTGAGGTCTATGCTGCTCCTGTGATTACTTTGCTTAATGGAGAATGTTTGGACTCTCCTGTCTGTGGTTGAGCCTTCTGGCCAAATGTTTCTGAGCCCATTCATTATGGTAGTGGCTTTTGCTCAACATGTTGGAACACTCAGCCTGCTTGTTCCCATGATTGTGCAAAGGAGCAAATAAGTGGCGTTGTGGGGATGCTGAGGTGGAGTTGTATCATTGAATTACATACAAGCTACATGTCTGTCTAGTACTGAGAAAGAAACTCACTATGATAGAATTACAATTTCTCTTCAGTGTTGCTGCAATCTGCTAAGCTGCAGTACTCAGTATCAGAGCAGGAGCTAGTTTATATTAAAATTGGTACAACATAGGAAAAACCTATACTCTTAAAAGTCCTCTGAAATTTTATGGCAAAATTTAATATTTGTGTCTTTGCCATGCTTTAATTTTCCACTATGCTTATAAGTAAAACCATTTTTCTTTTTCAAATTGTATTTTATGCTTCTGAATTTCTTCCTTATCATGTTACCTTGTATGTGGGTCTTACCTTACAATCCCTGTCAAGCAGGACTCTGTTGGAATAAATTAGATGGAGTTCTATTTAGTTTTATGTCTGATTTGACAGGTCATTCAAAGCTTATTTATAAACTTCAAACTTTATTGTTTATTTTAAACAAAACTATGTTTTCTTTGTCAGGTATCCTATAAGAAGGATGTGCAAGATACTCATAGATACACTGAAGTGCTGAACAGACCAGACATAAAGAAGGCAACTGAGATAACAAAGATAATAAGTGATGTATGTTCTCCTTTTACTGTCTTTCTAATTTTTTAGACATGTAATTTTTTTATTCCAGTTTTGATCAGATTTTTTTAGAATGCTACTGGAATTCTCAAATGTCTTGGACAGAAAACCTGCACCTCCAAATCTGATAGGAAGATTTGATTAAAAGAAATCCAAACACTGCCAAAACAAACCAGTCTTGCCTGGCAGATTAGAAAGCTATGGGTTTCTCCTTTTTAGATGTTGACAGTAGGATCTTTGAAAATATTGGTAATTGATGTAAGGACAACATGAAAATTGCTAAAGTTGGTTTTGTTTCAGCTTTATTCGTGATAACCATTCTCAAGTTAAGTCATGTGCTTGTATACTATTCTGCACTTCAGAAGACATCCCAAGCCTTTTTTTTTACCTTGGTATGAGAGAAGCTGGCATCCCAGGATACCCCTACCTCTTCAGCCAGCAGAGACAGGAAAACGGAATTCCCTGCTGTCCTTCCAAGAGCTGTGCAGATGCTGCTTCTTTCACAGGGGTGCTCCTCCCTGAACTCCCCTCTCAAATTCTTTGCCCTTCCACTGTGACCTTGGCTAATGGACAGATGAAGGAGCAGTTTAAGAAGCAGCAGTGTGTGATTCAGTTCAGTATTTTATTGTAGACAAGCCAAACAATATATATACTTAAAGCCTTGAGTCAAGTTTTTAAGTAATTAATTAAATATAAGACTGACTAGACACATTTGGAGAGACAGATTTAAGAGATTGAAACTCACCTTTCAATATTCAAGATTTTACGAAAACCAAGAACTTCTACTAAGTGCTATGCTCAGTGTGCAAATTTGCTAATTGCTGTTCAAGTGCTCTTAGAATTAGAGTGCTTTGGGACTTTTATTTCTTCCAGTCTATTCTTATGACATGTTCTTGCTGATTCACAGTGCTTGAGTAATGAAATAAGCCTGTTTCAGGCAATGGGTGATTTAGTTTGTGGTATTGCAAAGCACCTATTGTTGATTCATCTGTATTTTTTTCTGATGCATTGTGGGGAAAAATTGCAGCAGTTTGCATGGGAGGCAGTTCAGCTGGAGAGATCAGGTAACTAACCTTGTGGGACTAATTCAGCTCTGTGACACCAGTGCAGTCTCACTGACATCCAGCGAGACTGCAGTGGTAAAACTGAGAGTGGAATTTGACCTTACAGTTCAAAAAAGTTGCCCCTCAGACTAGTTTTATTTCAAGACTACTTTCAGCTGCTGCAGATCATCTTGGGTTAACTGTAATAAGAAATGCTGAGCCACTGTGACTCATTCTGCCTTGATCGGGAGGACAATATTTCTCTGGCTTAAGCTGTGCATTTGGTTAAAATTGAATTTTGTGAATGTTGCACATTGTGTTTTACAATTAATAAATATTATATTGTTAAGGAGCTGAACCCTGAGAAGGGCTTTACTCAGAGCTGATTAGAACAGTAGTGTCAATGCAGACCATTACATTAGACTTTTTCTACTAGCTTTAATGCTTACATTTCTCTTGATAAAACAAACCTGAACAATTTATTAGTGATTCATATCCACCCCCCACTTTTTTTTTTTTTAAATTTTATTTATTTATTTATTTATTTTTATTTTAAGGCAAAGTACAAAAAAGGAAGGGGAGAACTGAATAAGGAGTCTGCTGTGCTTGGAAGACCCGATTTTGAACATGCTAAAGGAGTTTCAAAGCTTTTAAGCCAAGTAAGATTCTCCATCATTTTACAATTATTTAATCAAAATACCTCATTCCTAGTACTGCAAAGAAATACTTAGATTTTTAGATGCTTATCTCTAATGGCCTTGAAGGTTATGTTCTCAAACTTTTCATGTAGTATTGCAATGACTGGTAAATTTTGGATTCTTGGGAAACCAAATACACATTTTGAAGCAAAAATATGATGAACTTTGTCTCTTGTGGAGATGGTGTATATTTATACAGATTTTCTAGGATTTCTAAAATACTATCTGTATGTAATTTAGAGGCAAATTTTGCTCCTCATTCAGTTTGAGTGGAACCTTACCCTGTGATTAATCCCACCGAAGTAACTGAGGTCTTTTGTGTAGCTGCTTGCTAATGTGAGTAATGGGATCTGAATTTGGCCTGACATGTAAACCACCCGCCTTCCTTCCCCTGAAACTGAACCTTTTATGTACTACAGTTATATATTAACCTCAAAAAAAAAAAAAAAGTCCTTAACTGAAAAGAAATCTGAAATACAAATATTCCCTCTTTCTCTTAGTAGTTTTCTACTCATGAGATGTACATGTAAGACTCTACTACAGATCATCTTGCCATTGTGAGAACAGATTTTTCACTGTTGATCTTTTTTTTGTTTTTTTTTCCCCCTTTTTCCCCTCATTTTTTTTTTTTTTGAAGTAGTTAACAGTGCCTTGCATAATCCGTGCTAGTAATCCTGTCCAGCTACCATTGGAGCTTTTGAAAACCCAGAAACTGCCCTCCTGTAAGAGGAGGATGGTGCCCTTTGATTGGAGGCTGTGTCAGCCTTCCCAAAGCAAAAAACCTCTCAAGTGTAAACAATGTATATATTAGGACAGACTCGATATCAGTGATATGTAAAAAATAGGTGTGTTTTGGCCAGATACTAAATGTCTTCCCTAGAACTAGCATAAAATGAGAATAATATGTCCTAGAGGACAAGCTGAAAAACAGTGTAGTGTCTGCAGGAGGTAGAGCTCCTTTTGCTGTTATCCATAGATACCTGCATTCACACCATTGTAAGCTTTGAAGCACAAGGAGAAAAAGAAGGAAATAAATATTTTTATTGCTTTGTTGGTGATGTGCTCAGAATCAAAATGGGATTGTGTTTTTCAAATAGATTTCTGTCTTCTATTTTATAGTGGATCATGTTCTCATTTCTCTGCTGATGGGCAAGTTTGCTAAGAGATTATGTTGTGTTTAGCATTGTGCAGGCTTGGAAGTCAGCCTGTACTTTCTAGCAAGCACCAGTGTGATGCTGCTCAGACCTGAGTGTCACTAACAGGAAATAGGACTGTCATTTAGCAAACATGTTCAGTGGTTTTTAAGAGGGTTCGTATCCAAATTTTGTGTGTAATGTCCTTTATATCTACTCAATGGCTGCCTACACACTCCTGTCCTGCAGCTCACTCCTGTGAGTTTGCAGCTGTCTGTTTTTGCCAATGAGACCAAACCATAACCCTTTCCAATAGCCCTGTCCATCTTCCCAAGCCTGGTACCCATGAGATTGTGGCCAACAATCACAAGTGAAAAATATCAGCTGGATCATGGGGTCCTGCAGGCTGATGAGCCAGCTACGTGGAAGGCTTCATCAATGCACTTTTTATCTTGTTTTTGTTAGATGTGCTTTTTATCTTGGACAATGCAAGCTGCATCTGCAAATGCTTTATAATAGGGCCTCTTCACTGCCAGGAACTGGGATGGCAGCAGTTCTAGTTGAGATCCTTCTGTGGAAGGCAGCATTTGCTGTGCAATTTTAACTTCTTTAGAGAGTCCAAATAGTGCAGAAGGTGTAACAGAAAGGGAGAAGTTGACAAAATGTATATTTCATTTGGTTTATTTGTAAAGAAAATTCTTACTAAACCTTGGTGGTCTGAACTCTGCAGTCACTGGCCCTGGATCTGAGTTTTGGGATCCTTTCTTGTATTGTCCCCTCCTCAGTCTAAGCTACTGCTTTGCAGTGTGTGTGATGGGGAGTGTGCTTTCAGAAACGGGGGCAGCACCTCAGCCTGACACTGCCTGCAGCAGCGTGAGGGGGCAAATCCTGGGCAGCCCTCAGCAGCAGGGAGGCACTCAGCAATTCCCCCACGTCCTCTGAAGGCAAGGCAGTGGCCATGAGTTGTCTAATGATCTTATATATTATTTGAATCATTATAACACTTAGGCACACTAATCATAAATCAAGAGCACAGAAAAATGAAGATGACCCCTGTGTCCAAAGAGCAGGGTGGTGGGGCACGATGAGGAATGCACCTGTGCTAGAGGAGAGAAAGAGACCTAGATATGGGTCAGTCATGTCAGTCCTCTTCATGCAAGGATCATGAAACAGGCTTGTAACACTTACAAGATTTAAAAAAGAGTAAAGTTAATGATCTCTTTATTGTCTCCAGACTTTCTGGCTTTTGGAGTTTCCATTTGTTACTAGAAAATGGGAAGATCATAAACTTTTTGTGTTGATAGTTGATAATCTCCCTTAATTGCTTAAATCTATAAGCTGTGACATGCAGAGAAATATTAGTTATTTGACCCTCACAGTAAATTTGCAAAGTTGACAATTCTGATGGATGTAATGGGAAGAGAAGATGATAACATGTTTTAATGTGGTGCATATGGGTAGGTAATTTAGGGAGTATACAGAACAGGAGCAAGAAGAGGTCAGGCAGTGTGGGTGTAACGAAGGGAGAAAGCAATCAAGGCAAGCAGGAAAGCAAACAAAGCGAAGAAAATAGTGTTAATGTTTGACTGGCACTCAAGGCTCTACAGAAATCACTGTTTCCTCTCTCTCTCTCCTTTCTTTCCTTTTTAATTTTTTATTTAACAAAGCTTTTGACAACAACAGCAGCAAAAATAATAGCTCCCAGAACTAGTATATTTACCCACAGCATGTGGTAACCCTTTTCTGTTGATTTTAAATGAAATTTAAAACAGAAACTGTGTTAGCCCTTATGAAAACATGAAGCTTGTCAATTTGCCGAGTGTGCATTGTATAATTTGGGCTATATTTTTCTATTTTTAAAATTTAAACAAGCTCTTGTTCATTCCCTCTTTATGTTTTTAATGTATATTATTAGCTTTTTCAAAGAACTGCTGATATTAAGTATTCCACTTATGGTGTTCAGTAACTGGTTTTAAGATAAATAATTTTGGATATTCATATTTGTTGCTGAATCTGGCGCTTATTGTTTTTAAGGATAAAACTGTTAGAGGTAGGATGTCCTTCAAAATGCATCTTCTCTGAGATTTTCAGTAACAACCCAAAGACCCTAGGATTTTCTCAATCTTTTTTTGCTTTAAACTCTGCTAGTGCTTTTAGCAGGGAACTTTTCAATTTTGCTCTTTGTTTATGCTACATTTCCTTCAATATATATGTGCTCTGACAGGTTTTTTCCTTATTTTAAGATGTTTTCATATCGTCATGAGGAAATGCTTTAGCTGCAAGTGTCTGCTTCATCATGGGATCCCAGTGGTTGCATGATTCAATTTTTGCAGTTCTTTGTAAATCTGAACAGTGGGTGATGTCATCCACTTCTGAAACTGAACACTCCCTGTGTGAACAGCTTTGAACTACAGATTTGATTTAGGAATGTTACTGCTAAGCTTCAAAAGACACTGCTCTGTCCAGCTGCAATTCTGACTTTTATAGGTTTTGTGCAAGGTCGATGAGAAGTTTGTTTATCCAGGCCTTATTTAATTCCAGTTTGGTTTTTCAGGGATGTTGTTGTGTTAAAAGCCTGCAGTCTGCTCTTTCTTAAGCAGTCTTTAGAGAGCAACCTCCACGCATTTCTTTTAAATTAACCCCTACCATATAATCTCTAAAAAAATAAACAAACTTAAGACTTTAATGAAGATGGTAAACAAGTAACCATCCTTTTAAGCCCTCATTAAAGTAAAGCTCTTGGTTAATGATGAAGTTTGTAGATAAGTGTCCACTAACAACTGTCAGTTCTACTCCCACTTGTTTGCTCTTCCACCATATTATAGCCTTGCTAAGACCTCCCCCTTTCAGATGGTTTAGAAATCATGAGGTATTTTTCTTCCTTGTTTTTATTCAGAAGTCTTCCTCTCAGGCATGTTTCCTCTCTTTAAACTGCCTTCGCCCTGTTCAATAGGATGATGAATACTGTGTGCTTTCCTTCACCATGACTCATCCATGGGCTTGCTCTTCTTTCTTCACTCTCTCCCACCCCACGCTTCCTTTCAAAAGGGAGAAAGAACCAGAAAGATGTTGTTAAAAGAGAAAGTGTATATCTCTGTAGCTGTCAATGCAGCAAATCCCCTATGACAGGACAGTTAAATGGCTGCTGGAAGTGCTCTGGAGGCAGAGCTGGTGTTCTCTGTTATTACTGTGCTCCGCTTTGCCCAGAGCGACCTGTGTGATGGGGAGGGGAGCAAAGGCAATGAGCTGAGCAGCCAGGGCAGGCAGCAGGGCCTGGAGCTGTGAGGCAGCCCTACTGCAGCCAGAACATTTACACTCACCTTGCCTGGGGAGCTCCTTTAATTTTGGAACCCTCCTGCACATCAGTACACGGGGCCCCATGAAGACTGGGTTCACTGGTCCCCCCTCCGTCCTTCAGTGGCAGCATTGTGATCTGAAGTGACTCTAAAGAGGGTCTATTACTGGAATCTCTAGATTGAAATGCATTGCTAAAAAGAATTTAAAATGATGGCATGAAATGACTGCTGCTGGGAGATGGCAAGCCAGTTGTGAGGAGAGGTCCCTTTGGCACCAGCACTTTCCCACTTAACAAGAATTTCAATGCCATGCTGTGCATTTGGTCTGTTTGCACTGCTTGTGGCATTTATTGGCCAGGAGAAGGCAGCCTACAGTAGTTGGGTGCTTAAAGTCTTATGCTTGGTGGTGTTGTGATGTGGGTAAAGGAGTAAAAGACAGTTTTGCTCACCTTACTGTCTTGATCTCTGGATTTTTGAATGACATATTTTCACTGCCTGATATTCATTAGAAGGCAAATTTTGGATGCACCTTTTAAGATAGAAAAGCCCTCTGATTTATTCCTTCACTACTTGTACAGAGCATGGATTTGCCTTTGTATTTAGATATATGCTTTTGCACTTGATCCAATGCCAAGGCAAATATCAAACAATATAAACCAGATGAGTATACCAGACGGCAATAGATACTGTCTTCTACTGTAAGTGTGAAAGATTATGAAGTTCATCATGTGTTCAGATAAAGTTTCTCTTTGAAAGTAACAATGTTTTAGAATTTCCTTACTTAGAAAAATTAACCTAAGTACTGGAATAATAAAGTAGTGCTTGAACATACATGGCTGGTTCCTGTTTGTGTGGCTTAGTTTTGGTTTCTTGTTATCCTGATTAATGAAATAGTGGACTTTGTGGCTAAAGATAATGAGATTGTGTAAGCTGAATCATGTTGAGGGTCTTTTGCGGCAAGGAAGAACTGAAAAGGAAAAAAAAAAAACCCTCTTCCCACAACGAAGGCTGAGGAAAAAAATTGAAGATTGTTTGAGGTGGCTTAACCACTTTTTCAGGCATTCATGTGGGAATAGAGAAAAAAGGAGTAGGGAAGAATCCATGTATTTATTTAGTGCAGAGCGTGGTAAATTATAATGGATGTTGCATAGGCTCAGATATCAGGTGTCTGCCTAAAATTCATGAAAGCAGCATAATTCAGACTGAACTTTATTCTCCTCCATTATACCCAGCTGTTGGAAAGAAGCAGACATGTGTGCAGAGTCTCCAGATGTTTGATGATCGCTCACAAAGGGAGCAAAGGAGGGAGATACACTATTTGTTCAATTTCATATTTTCAGATTATGAATTCAGTTTTTCAGCATATTTTATGGAATTTTTATGTTTTATTTACTTTTAATGCCATTGTCTCCATATTTATGTATTGCTTATTTCCTTACAAGTGTTGTCATTCCCCTTTTTCTTTTGAATGACAAGAAAAGATGGTGAAGGTGATGGCAGGCAATCATTTAATTATGCTTTCCAGCACTGTAATGTGGTGGGCATTATCCCCAAGAAAGGACTGTACTACAGAGGGATTCCTCAGCGTCTTGTGGGAAATTTTTGGCAGGATTAAAAAATAGACCTGCCTGTTCTGGTGGCAGTCTAGCATAGTGGGAGTGACACGTGGACCCGGTGGTGGGAAGTTTGATTCTGACTTCCCACTTTCAGGTGGTTGAAAAATTTACAAGTGATTTGTTTTACAGATGTTACAATTTATTTCACTTTAGATTTTTTTTTTGTGCTAAAACCATAATTTTGGTGTTAACTATGCTAGTCAATTTGACTTTTGCTAGTCAAATAGTTCTGTATTATTTGATTACTCATGTGAATCATGTGGTCTTGTTTCTGTTTTTTTTTATTGTAAGTCCTTCAGCACCAGTAATCACATATGACAATATTAAAATTTTAGGAAAAATTCAGATACATAAAAATTAATTTGAAACCAACACAAGACTGTCACAGGTGTGGGCAAACTGAATTTCTTTAAACTGTGTTTAATGATTTATGAATAAAGCAATTGCATTTCATAATTTTCTTTGTAGTCTGAATTTTCTGCCTTTTTTGAATGCTATATGTTAATATTAGACATGTTTGTTCTGGTGAAAGGTAAAATACAAAGAGAAGTTCAGTAAGGAAATGAAGAGTCACCAGTACAATCCTCTTGACAGTGCTTCCTTCAAGCAAGCACAGATTGCATCCACCTTGGCAAGTGATGTAAGTTAATTTGCTTTGTATTTTATGTGCATTTACATCCTGAATAACCTAACATTTGTTCACAAAAAGAATTTATTTTTTCATCGAATTAATTCCTCTGAGCTACAGTCTCTGCTATACAGTGTGTAGCACGTACAGCATGTTATCCATTTCTTCTTCTGACCAAGGGCCTGAAGAGTTTTTCATAACCATTTTAGATGAGATGAGATTTGCCTCAATTTTGTGTATCAAAAGGTGTGACCACTTTGAGCTACTTGCGTTGTACTTGTTCCCTTTTTATTCAGGAAAGAAATAAACGGGTCTAGAAGCCAATTCTTTTCACCTGTTAGAGGTGCCTGTCTTTAGAGGAGCAAAGTACTGTCATCTCTCCAATGGTTATTGAAGGAGGTTACATGAGCAGTTCAGATCTGGATGTTGGCCTTTTAGGCTTCATTCTTCTGGTTGGTCTTTTCAATGATATTATAAGATACTGCAGTCACTAGGTTCAGCAATGGGTGGCTGCTGCTGGAGCCAGACTGGAGAAAACATCTGTATCAAGTGATACTGCTCTTGGGATGATATATTTAAAAGTGTGTTTAATGCTAGAAATGTGATCTCTTTGAGGCTGTGATCCCAGATAGCCAAAAGGCAAGTCTTCATTCTGTAGTCCAGCATTTCTGAAGTGTGAGGTACCATGCAATGGGAGCAGGAAAACTGGCTCTGGGAAGGGTACAGAAGATTATGTAATTATTTCCAAAATCTAAATGTGTAGTAAAAAATCAGTTGAAGCAGTTATTATTATAAGAAATGGGCAAATTGAAGTGAGGAACGTGATACGTATGTGAAAATGACTAAAGGTATTAGTTTAAAAGATTTCTTGTCCAAGACACTTAAGGTAGCTAGTTTTCTTCCTGTAAATTTGGGCATACAGGTCTCAGAAGAATGGAAAATCCTACTGTAGGCTGATGGGAAGTTACTTTCTGCTGCTTCATTAAATGATTATCTTTTGCTTTAGGTCACCATATTGCTTATATGTGCTGCAAGCAATCTGTGTTGGATAAAATATTCAGGAAAAATTCCTTTTAACTGCTATATGTCAAACTTCTAAACTGGACAGTGTGATTCCTGAAGCTGGGAAAAAATAATAAGAGTTAAAGGTTTTTAATATGAATAGACCGAAAGTAGGTCTTGTAGGGGGTGGGAAGGGAGGGGAGAGGAAAACAGAGGCAAATTAATTCTAGCCTGAAAAGTGATACAAAGTGTGGTTTTGTTGTAAGTGTCCTTGTTTGTAGAAAAAGTTTGAGTAGTTCCTAAGTACTTAGCAGAATGAGTCCTATATTGTTCTTTCCTTTTCTTTGAAATAATAGTAGATGACCACCATCTAGTGGCTGGGAGAGATTTTTCAGGGAAGCACTTAGTGTTTTCTCTTTCTGAATGGTCACACTGTAATACAGAGCTGTGAATTATTTTATTAATGTTTAGTGTACATAACCTGAATTTTCTTTCCAGGTGAACTACAAGAAAGATTTGGAAAGCCTACATGATCCAGCATCTGATTTACCAAATCTGCTGCATTTAAACCATGCCTTAAATATCAGCAAAACACAGAGTGATGTAAGTTGCCTTTTTAGGAACAAGCTGAAAAATAAATCTAGTAAGGAATGTACTATGTATAATCGCGGTAGGAAACATTTTTACTCTCAAATGTAGTGGAAAATAGTGTTGCAACTGTAGTAGATGAGGGGTGTAGTGAAGAAAACCAGGTTTTTATGAAGACATATTTCAATTCTTAGAACAGATAATATATACCATGGAATAATCGCACAGACTTCTGATGTTGAGTGTTTCTTTTCATATACCTGAAACATTGACTTATTTTTCTTTGTTCTAAAACCTAAAATACTTCTTTCCTTGCAAATCTCATTTTGTCAAAGATCTTGCTTTCATCTGCAAGTCTCTCTACAAAACTGACCATTATGCTAGTTTCCTATTTGGACTTCTTTTCGTGAACAGCCTCTGGAGTATTAGCTTACTTTTGGGCTTCTCTGGCTAAGCTTTTTTCTCCCAACTGTCTGACTCTTCCTGCACTGGGTCAGATAAATTGGCACATGCTCCATTTTGCCACATAGCAAGATATGCCCCTTGATGGGGCTGGTGTTCTAATATATGATCGTGCTAGGGGTTGAAATAGGAAGGGAGAGCTTGGAAACCCCTGGCTCCTGTGCCATGGTGAAGGGTCTTTCCCACCCCAAGAGCACCTATGCTGTGTGTCTGTAAGCTGCATTTGTCATCTTTACTCCAGAAAACACAGCAGGCCTGCAGAACTGCTGTGGAGAGGCATGAGTGGGTGATTTTGGGAAGGAAGGTTGCTTTATGGTTGGCAGGAGTTGAGTGTTTCATAGGCAATTAACTCTCATGAGTAGGAGCATACTGGGTCATTTTTTGAGTCAGTGCCTGCTTATGTCTAAAATAATAAAAATAATTAATCTATATTTGATTTTTGTGGTGATTTTTTTTTTAGAACTGAAGTTTTTTTTTTTTTTTGTCTGTCTCACTCCCTCTGTGAAGGTAACACTGACTATCCCCTTTTGTATGAGTAATAAATGAGTTGGAGTCTTTTTCTTCCTGCATTCTTCATGCACTTTTTGGCCCAGATCTAGTTTCCTTCTAGTATATGGTAAGATTGGCAGTCTTGCTGATTAAATGAACACCCTCAGAATGGACATCATCAGTTTATCACCTTAGCTCTAAGGTTATAGAAACCTGGACTTTCTCTTAAGGCAGATCATGTCTTGCAAAATGTATTTCTTTCTTTTGTCCTGGAGGGGTTGATTCATAATGTCCATGTGCTTGTCAGAGGAATCTAAATACTAAGCCTATGATTTTTTGCATTGTTCAGATCCTGGTGAGTATTTTTATTTTGTACAAGAAGAGAAATGTTTTGCTTTGCTAATCCCTAAACTATCCATTAAATAGCTGTCTTTTAAAGAAATCCCATTTTCACAGTCCTTCTCAGAGCTGACCTCCCCATGTCATTGCTTTTATTTAAGCATGGTTTACTCTTCTTCTTTCTCCCTCCTTTTCCAGTGCATTCCATGTGTTCTCCTTGGCTCTCCATAGCTCATACCAAATCTGTTTTTTATTCTGAAACACAGAGCTGCTTCCTAATTGCCTGATTTTGCTGTTTCCCTGCAGTACACCTTTCTCCATTGAACTTTTTGTTTCTCATTATCTTCTCCGTAACATAGCTATGCCTGCACCAGTGTAACAGATGGAAACCTATATGGTTAATTAAACTCATTAACTAATATTGTTGATTGAATGAATGGTTTTGCTTATTGACCTGGAGTGTAGAAGTGTGTACAGCATTATGAAGCACTTATACAGTAATATCAATGCAAGGGTGTTATACAAGTCATTTTCCACAGGAATAAATTCCAACAGTTAAGAGGAAAACTTGATGAGCATCTCTGGACTTAAATAACAGATTTAGACAGGTCAGACTCATCCTAGTTTTATTATTTTGATGAAGAAGAAAATTACAAGGTAGAATTCTCCCTTCATACAGTATTTTCTGGTTTCACTTGGAATGGAAGTAATTTTCCTCCTAGTAGCTGGTGCAGTGCTGTGTTTTGATTTAGGATGGAAACGATGTTGATAATACACTGGTGGTTTAGTTGCTGCTGAGCAGTGCTTGCACTAAGTCTAGGACTTTTCAGCTTCTTATGCAGCCCTGCCGTTGAGGTAGCTGGTGGTGCATGGGAAGCTGGGAGAGGACACAGCCAGGACAGCTGACCCAAACTGGCCAAAGGGATATTCCACACCATATAGTGTCATTCTTAGTATATAAACTAGGGGAAAGTTGGCCAGGGGTTCCTTCTCAGGGACAGGCTGAGCATTGATAGGTTGGTGGTGAGTGACTTTTTTTCATTTGCATCTCTTGTTTTTCTCCTTGAGCTTAATTTATTTCTCTTATTTGTTATTTTCCTTTTATTACTGTTTATTATTATTTTAAAGCTTATTTTATTTAAATTATTTAACTCTTATCTCAAACCTCAAATTTTCTCACTTTTACCCTTCTGATTCTCTACCCATCCCCTGGGATAAAGTGTGTGAATGGTTGTGTGGCTGGCTGTAGTTAAACCATGACAGATATATATGTAATTCTGGTATGAACTATGGAGACACAAAATTTGACACTGATATATGTACAACAGCTAGTTTAATGTTTTTCACATTTTAAATCTGTTCTTATTGTGGAGACTTTGAGATACTAATGAAATACCAAAGGGGGCTAAAAAAGGGGGAACTTAGATGTATTTAATTTTAATGAAGTGGGTGAATAAATAGAACTTCAGAGACTGAACTTGGTGCTTTTAGTTCAGCTTAATATAGCAAAAAGTTATGAGCTTAGCTAAGTTTATTTTATAGAATTTCTTAAAAGTTTTCTTCCATTAGCTGAGGAATGGAGTAAAAGTATGAGATCAGTGTCTGTAGATGGAGGTAATTTTAATTTGTTTCCACTACTAAAGTGTTTTTGTTGTGTGACATTTATAATTCTTTCCACTAGGAGGCAAACCCAGACCATGATATGTGTTCCTTTGCACTTCAAGTGTAAATAATAATGTTTATTTTCTATGGAACACAGAAACATCTGGCTGTTAGATTAGCAGGAAAACTATTTTCTCTAGGAATGTATAAAAGCTATTTTTTATCATGTCCTTTTTTTTTTTAATTTCATCACAACATTTTAAATTCACATTTGATAGAACTGCCCAGTTTGTAGGACTGAAATATAGTTCCTTTCTTCTATGTTGTTTCTTTCACAGTTATTTCAAATAGTGTTTAAATTCCAAAGCCTTCTGGATTTTGTCAGTGAAAACAAAATTTTTGGATTTTTTTTTTGTTTCAGTATGAATATAAGAAATCATTTAAGCAAAACAATTTCTGTCATTTCATTCCAGACACTGCAGAACAAATCTATTTCAAAGAAAATGCAGTGCTTCCAAGTCAGGTATACACAACCACAAATGAACACATCTTGCAAAGACAAAAATGCAGTGTTTTAACAATGATTAAATCATGCACAAAACCACATAACAGATTTCAGTGATGTACAGTGCATGTGCAATCAGAAGAACCCCATGAGGAGAGAGAAGAATGTTTTTGCAGGACCCAAGCCTAATGGAGAAGCCTGACAGGGAAAGTGAAATTCAGACATTGCTATTTTTGAAGAGCCATAGAAATTAAAATTACATTACTTACTATAAATGTAATATTTTGATTTGTAGCTATTTGCTTTCCTTTAAGGCTTCTGTAGACTATTCCATCATGCCCCACACTGACTGATGGAGGTAAGTAATGTGTTTACCAGTCTTAATCAAAAGAGTGTGAATGAATGAGTTCAGAAGGCTTCTCCAGGTTTCCAAACAAGGTGTATTTCCTTTGTGAGTTAGCAGAAAGGAGTAAGTTGATATCTTAACCCTGTGTCCTTCACTGTGATTTTGCTGCCAGTTATAAGGTCATGGTCCTTGGTAGATGTGAGGGGAGTGTTGGTGCAGGACAGGGCCTTTCCAAAGCAGCAGTTTTCCTTCACTTCTTCTTCCCACAGGTACAAACAAAAGTGCATCTGAGAGTTGTGCTTCTGAGCCCGGAACAAAGACCTGTGGAGCCTGGCTGTGAAACAGATTTTGTTGCTGTTACAGTAAATGTGTTGTTTTATGGAAACAGCAAGGGATTCTATTAAAAAGCTGCCAAGTGTTCAGACATAGGTCATTTGGCCAAACCCATGCAGTTAGTTTAAGGATTGTATTTGATGGTCCTTATTTCTGTTGTCTTCAAAGTCCACAATTTCTAGGTGTGAATTGTGTAGAAAAGGAATAAATGACGCCAAAACATATTACCTTACCTAACTGTCCAACAGGTTAAGTTTGGGAGAAGTCTTCCAAATCAAAACATCTAAGGAGCATGGCTAAGACAGGATTTGTTTCTTGCCAAGGCAAGCAATCAGATCTCATTCTCTCAGCTGTTAACAGACTTTATTTTAATTTTATTAGGTCAAGTACAAAGAAAATTATGAAAAATCTAAAGGCAGATCAATGCTGGAGTTTGTGGATACACCGATGTATCAAGTTTCAAAGGAGGCTCAAAAGATGCAAAGTGAGGTAAGTAAAAATGTACTTTTTGAACAAGTAAAATTTAGATCAACGGAGAAGTTAACTGACTCAGGTTAAGAAAATGTACAAAGCAGAGAATAAATTGTGGATATGGTAGAGTTATACTGAGTAGATGTCTCTGCGCTTCTGTAGTTCAGTTCTTCTTGTGAATTTGTTTTTTTTTCTCAAAAGGCCATTGGTACTAAGAGTACCACACACATCATATAATTGAGAATAAGCTCAATAGGTCATCTAGATCAGAGATTAATAACTTTTAAAATTTTCACTTGAATTCCATCTTTAGGGAAGGATGGTTCTCATGTGGGAGCAAGTGAAGCCACAAAATCCAGTCCAACCCCATGATTTAGCTGAAACAGCCTCCTGCCTATCCAGCCTGGGAAACTCATCAAGGAAGAGGGACTGTTCCCAGGCTCCGGAACAGCACTGGCTGTCTTATATCAGGCCATGTTTTTCTAAGTTAAAGAAAAAAAAACCCAAAAACCTTCAAATGACGGAGATTTTGTGACTTCCCAGACAATCTAGTCCAGTGCATTACCATCCATCCTGAGTGAGATGGATGCACCTGTGTCCCCATGCTGTAGTTTGATGCCATTAGTTTTGCTGTGTCATGGAAAATGGATTATCTCAGCCTCTTGGTAGAAACTTTAATGAGTTTTAAACCATTTCCTTGTGTGCCATTTGTCTTCTCTTTTCCCTACCAAGAAAACTGTTTTATTCATAGATCAGGTTCTTTGGGCATACTGTACACATATTTTTGTCTAGATTGTATCTGTTTGTTTAAATAAACTAGATAATGAAATGTATAATGAAGTTGTTTATTAGTGTGAAATCTAATTTATGGCAGGGCTTATTTTTGGTTCTGTTTACAATATCTCTCCTGAAATATGCTTTGAATTGCATATGTATGTACCACTAATTGTTGGTTTTGCTATTTTAGAAAACGTACCGCAGAGATTTTGAAGAAGGGATCAAGGGAAGACCTTCACTGGATTTAGACAAGACCCCAGAGTTCTTGCATATAAAACAAGTCACTAATCTTCTGAAAGAGGTAAAGGGTTATTTTTTCTGTTGTTAGGTTGTAAATGAGCAATCAGCAGCATCACTACAAGCTGCTGCATGGTGAATAACTTAAAATTTTCTTGGCAGCTACATACAGGTAAAAATTTTCACAAGTAAGAATTGCTTCACATCATTCTGGATTCTGAATAGTCCTGTAGTAAGGACATGATAAAGCTCAGCATACCTGAATCGGACTATCACCTCTCTTTTCAGATAGATAAAGGGGTGAAAGGAAGAATTTTTATCAGTGTCCAGATGGCAGTTTTTCCCTCTGAGTAATTATTTCACATTTATGTTAGCCTGTTGAGGTTATACAGATGCCTTGAACTGCATAGAGTCAATTATAACTAACTTAATTGCAATAATTATCTATCGTACATGTTATGGATAAAAAACAAAGAAGACCAAAATTCCCTAATAGAGCTGTAATATTGCATAACTGCTTTAGTCCATTTTGTTAGAAGGTACAGATTTTCTGTATGCCTACTGTTTCCTTCAGATTTGTGTAATGTTCTTCAGTTGTTTGTGTCACTTAAGATGAAATTTTTTTTCCATAACTGAGAATCCTTCTATCTTTAGTATTTTAATATTATTTTAAAAAATGTTTTCATGTTAGGTTTTGAATATTGTGTGACCAAATTTAGAAGAGCTAGAAATGCTAGAAGAGAAGAGCAGTGCTGCTAGATATTCTGCCTTTGAATCTGAGAGTCATGTTTGTATTTATGGTATTAAGAACAGATTTTTTTCTTTTTTGCCAAAACAAATAAAGCACATTAGAATTAAAAATGCTTGAACTTAGTTCCTTTCCTTGTTCTTTATATAACTTATTCCAGTCCATGTTAGATTTCATATAGTTAAAGAAAAAAAATTCTTTTAAGATATTTCTTTATAATTCATCTCTAATAAATAGTTTATTCTGATAAGCCTGATTGTCAGGTAGGCAAGTCTCAGGCTAGGTCTGTTTTGTGCAGTGGCATTTTGTGATACATCTCATATATGCCTTCTCACTAGGGAAAAATGCAAATCATGCTGTCATCTCATTCAGTTCATCTTGCTGCTCACTGAATGCCCAAAGAAGTGGGTACTGTATGCATAGTTTTATCATGTGCTTTACATGTTCATCTCTGAAATTTTGATGTAGCTCCCCTCCTTAGTGCTATATGCATTAAGATGTTCTCTAATTCTGACTTCCTCAAGCTTTATGCCTTCTTATTTAGGGAGTAAACCATGCCTGGAAGTCAAAGAAGAAGGAATTGAGAAAATGAAAATGGTATTTCCATTAATGCATAACTGCATGAATTTCTCATGATTTTATATCCACATTCAAGGAACGTATTCCAAACCCAGAGATTACCTGGGTAGAATTAATTAGCATCTTTCATGATTCAGAAAGATTATGTATTTCTTCAGAGTCAAGGATGTAGCTCAGTGTTTTTCCATAAAGGTTCATAATCAACTTTGAATAGATACTGCATGAAACAAGAAAAACCTGGAATTAAAAATTAATTAATTGTTCAATCACATTTTTTTTTTTTTTTACCCAAATGTCAGCTATGTTCCAGCTTATTCTGTTGACTTCCCACTGCAGAGAGTTCTGCAAATATTTCACATTTTTGTAACAATACAGAATTTCTTCTCTGGGACCACATTTACAACTCCTTCAGAAGAGATAGCTGAATTAGATAATTCTTAGTTAAATAGTTCTAAATTAGAAGAAATTTTTTCCTGCTTGTTGTAGGACATGCTTCTGATGATCAAGAGAAGCATCTTTAAAAATATCTGGTTTCCTTTTATTTAAATAAAGAGCTTATAGGGAGATAAAGGTGCTCCCTGCTGCTTATGAAACTTAATATTTAATTAGGAGTATTAATCATGTCTATGTAAATCATTCCGATAAATATTTTGTTCAATGTTCTTCTAATTTCTTTGCCCAAAAAAGCCTAACCCTCATCTGGAGATATGAAGAGTAATTAAAAATTCCTACATAACTTAAAGATCTTGAACTTCAATAGGCTTACATCAGCTCTCTAGGAGCTGGGAAGAGCAAAAAGAACCAAATGTCTGTGGGCAAGTTCTAGTGTGCTTTGAATTTTATACTGAATATTTGAGTACTCTGGAGGCTGCAGTTGCTGAATGTTGATAGGTCATAGCAGTGCAGTGTCCAGGAGGCACAGGAGTGATATGGTAGGAATACTGCTTCTACATTTTAATTCAAGAGGTTGGTTTAACAGGTCCTAGTATGGTGTTTAGGGAATACATCCTGATTGGGATGCATTAATGGAACTGTGGTAAAAACTGCAGCACTGCTGGTCTGCAGAAAGAAAATGCTGCTGCAGTGAAAATATCTGTCCAGAGACAGACAAGGGTCCTGAACAGTGTGCTAGTGCTGTATAAGGTGACAGCTGGTTTTCAAGAGCACAAAAAAAAATAGATGACAACATTGAAATCTTCTTTTTCAACATTGTTCCTTTTCATTTCACAATTGCCAATTCTGTTTTAAGTCTGGAATCTGTACTTCAGCTAATTCATATTTCATAGAAATTTCAAAGGGATGCTTCAGACGTTTAATAAGTGGCATTTCTTTTCAAGATCTTGCACAAAAAAAGAAGTGGTGAAATCTCTCCCTCTCTTTTTTTAATCCTTAGAAAGAGTATCGAAAAGATTTGGAAGAAGGGATGAAAGGGAAAGGAATGACAGTGTTTGAAGATACACCAGATTTGATTAGAGTGAAAAATGCAGCTCAGATACTAAATGAGGTATGTTACCCTATCCTAAGGTTATTCATATCACAGAAGATTCACTTTGTGTTAAACTCAAAAGATTCCTATTATTATTTTTTTTTTTACATAATCTACTGTGAAATATGTAAGTATTGAAACTAAGGCTATTTCTGTTTTGCTTGAAAAAGATAGTAAAGCTCTGGATAAAAACAACACAGGACAGATAATTTAGATTTTCAGGCAAGTGAAAGGTCATTGGAGATTGTTAGTGGGGTCAGTAGATCCAGAATTTAGAGCTGTTCTCTGCTGAGGCTTTCCCAGCATGTGAGTTTGGGTGGTCTTCCAGACATCCAAGGCTGTCTCTGGGAAGCAACAGCGGGGCTGGAGGGTGTAGGGAGGGAAGATGAAAGACAAAGCTTGTGCTGCATGTTATGCCTGTGGGAAATAATTTCAGAATATAAATTATATATATATATATATGTAAATATATATGTAAATATATATATATATATATATGTAAATATATATATATGTAAATATATATATATATTTGATATTAATTTTTTATTGATTTCTTTTATTATATATATATGTTTATTCCTGCACACACAGATATATATATATATACACACATATCTGTAAAAAATTGAGGGAATACCATGGATAGAGCCAATCTGACTACTGTAAAGAAGTGCAGGAATATATAGCTGTAACTTGGTGTTTTACACAATATGAAGCTTAGAGGAAAGATCTGCCATCCCACCTTTAGCAGAGAAGAATTGAGGGATGATGTTACAGCTTAATTTAACAGGTTAATTTGCAATTCTTGCAAAAACACCATGGTTAATAAAGTAGAGGGCTGTTTAATCACATTTTTTTCCACATCAGAGTGAGACAGAGATGTAAGACCAAAAATCTTTTTGCTCATGTTCTTGTAAGTGATCAAACCATTGTATTGAGTACGAACATCTATTCCTTCTTTTTCTAACTAATGTACAAGTGAAAAGTAGTTCACAAACAAGAAAAGTAAGAGGCATTTCAGAATTATATGTATTATATGTATTTACTTTAAAAAAGAAGAATTTTTCACAGGCAGAATGACCTAGAATAAAACAAGGATGATTATTACTATAGCACTGGAAGTAGAAATAGCACTGGCTGAGAATATTTTTTATAAAAAGTCTATAACTATTGTATACAATATTTCCATATTACTTTTTAATATAATTTGCTGATGAACAAGGAACATAACCTTGCTTGGAAAAGCTGAAGATGAAATATTAATTTTGTTTTTAGATCACTGGTTATTTATAATTTATGTCGTGAGGAAAAACAGCAATCATGGATGAGAACTGCCACTTGCCTAATGGCTATGGTTCAGGAAGGACCTATTAAATGAATAAATTACAACTTCCTGATCTGGAAGTTCACTGGAAGCAGTTCTGTATGGTATTAAATTTCTAACATGTAGTCTTGTCATAAATAAAATATTTTCTTAAAAGTAAAATGTGTTTCAATTAGACTGGCACCAAGGACAGACTTACTACACCATGTTCTACAGAACTAAACTTCCCCTTTACTTCAGAGGATAACTGTAGCAGACTGCATGGGCTGATTTCCTCCCACCCTCTGCCACATTAAAAATTCATGGATAGAGATTTGTACATTCATTGAATATCTTCTAAAAGTTTTCCTCCCATAGTTTGTTATGTGTTTCTTTCTGACAACAGTTCACCAAAAGTTGTGAGAACTGTGACTCTTGAAAGTTTTGATTGACTCTAAATCCTAAATTTGAGTGTCTAGTGGAAAAAAAAAATCTACTTCCAACTCTCTGGATTTTGTGAATGTCATGTATAAATTCTGTCTTCACAGAGGCAATACAAGAAAGACTTGGAAACTGAAATTAAAGGGAAAGGCATGGAAGTTGGTCCAGATACACCTGAGATAAGACGAGCCAAGAAAGCTTCTGAAATTGCAAGCATGGTCAGTTCCACTCCTGGGGCGAACTTTCCTTTCCACAGAATGCAACAAATTATTGTGGCTGAGAATTCCAGGTGGTGGCCAATCTAGGCAGTACTGAAAACACAGATTTCTCTAAATAGCTAATCCATTGAGCTCGAAGAGTTGAACAGTTGCATAATCAGTGTACGGGGGGGAAAGTTAAGGCTTCCCAGAACTTAGACTTTCCTATCACCTTTTGCAGGTTGTGCTTGTTCCTCATGATCCATGCCTGGCCTGGGGTGTGTTTGGGCACTGTGGGCCCTGCTGCTTTTGGTTCTAAATAGCTACTTATTTATGTAGGGCTAAATAATAAACAGAGTTAGAGAGATGCTAAACCATTATGAGCTCAGTCTTGCAAAGCCCAGCAGATGGAGAAATTCTCACATGTGTCTGACTGTGGCTTCCAAAACTACAGAGACAGGTAGATGTGAAAGGCTCCATCAGATTTGAAGTGAGCAGTCTGTTAAAAGAGTTCTTTAACCCATCAGCAACTACAGTGTAGAGCATGGCATGGGTAGGTTCTACAAAACTGGTACTGCTGAATCATTATTTATTTGGTGGTTTATTTATGCTGGTCAGTGAAATCACACAGATTAAATTGGAAAAATGTTAAGAATTTGGCTGTCAACTGTGAGCATTTTCAATGCTATTATTTTCAGAAAGAATACAAGAAAGACTTGGAGAATGAAATTAAAGGAAAGGGAATGGAAGTAGGTACAGATACCCTTGATATACAACGAGCCAAAAAAGCTTCTGAAATTGTCAGCCAGGTGAGTACAGAATTAATTGCTTTAAGATTACTTTGAAAGTAAAATGCATTGAGATGTTAAAAATATAGAATCCTCTTGAACATTCTTAAGCTAAAAAAAGCAAGCAGTGCACAATGAAAATATTAAATTAAATAAATGGAAGAATTTATTTTTATAGTGTGACCAGTACTATGAGAATAGCTTTGAACACAGCATGTACAGACAGTTGTAGTATTAGTTATAGGGTTTTTTTTACCATTTATTTTTCTTCAGAAGAAATTTAAAAAGCATCTGGGGACTAAAATTACAGGAAAAGGGATGCAAGTTGGTCTGTATATTCCAGAAATACAGTGTGTCAAAAGAAATAGCAAGCCAGGTAGACATAGTCAAAAGCTGAATGTTTTAATTCTGTGTACCAATGATTGCTTGGCATACTCTGCTCGAAATACTTTTTCTCTAGCTCTGTAGAGGCTTTCATAACCATACTAAATTAATTTACATGTAGCGAAATGTCTTTACTGCCTGATTCTTATTTGTATTTAGGCCTGTTACACCATGTAAATTGATTTAATTATTTACATCTACCTGTAGTTCTTTTCACATTATCGAACTACCTAATGTTACCGTACATACATCCTGACAGTTAAGGGAGAATATATATGAGGATACATTATCTATGAAGGTATGTTGTATATGAGGATATATAGGTATATTATATATATTTTAGTGTGGGGACAGACAATGGTAACAGTATCATGGAGAAGTCAGGTTTAAATAAATATTGGACAAGGGATGAGGAGGCTCATCAGCAATAAGCATCTTTTGTGCAGTTTGGATATCCTGAGCCCAAAAAGCATAAATGTGTAAAAATTATTTTTCCAGAAAATGTACAAAGATGAAGCAGAGAAGATGCTCTGTAACTATTCTGCTGTCCCAGACACTCCTGAGATGGAGAGGATAAGAAGTACTCAGAAAAACATCAGTTCAGTGAGTAATAGTGCTTCTCTCTTTGCTTGTAACTTTTCAGATATTTTTTAGTTTAAATAGGCTCTCTTGTGCCACAGCACAAAATACGGAACTTATGAGTAGGTGTCCTTTGAACCATTTCCATAATTTTCCTGGAAAAAACTGTATCACTTATTTCTCTCAATAAAAATAATACCCAGCTTTTCTAGGTGTGACACTGTTATTTTGAATTTCTAAACCACTTATGCCACCTTGCCAAGCCACAGTTATTTTTGAATGAAGATTTTTTTTTCTTTTTCCATCAAGCCCTAAGAAGTACTTTATTTAAAAGGGAAAAAAAATCAAAGGCTTTTTACTATACATATAAGATTTTTCATCTGTTTCCTATCATGTACTGAGCATCAAGATTAGGGTATAAAATTAGAACAGATCAAATTTCATAAATATGTATATATATATATATATATGTGTATATATATATGTGTATATATATATATGTGTATATATATAATGATTTTATATTACACTGGGTATATTTTCAAATTTTATGCTAGCTTTTAGTTTCAGTGCATCCCTAAATATAAATTATAAGCTTAGATTTCTAAAATTGCCCAGTTTTGATTGTATTACATTTCACTTCCTTTTTGGGCTCATTAATGCTGCTGTTTGTAATTCTGCCTTTGCTTGTGATACAATAGAGAAGAGGAGTAAATCTGGCCTCCAGAACAAAAGGCCAGTCAGTGGTTTTTATGGCAGACTAAGTAATACTAATAAAGCCAATGATTTGAGAGAAAGGAGTATAAGATACTTAAATGTTTTTAGTATTATCTGACACACGGGTTTCTTAATTTAGAGATATCCTCTGCTTCTCCAGCTCTCAGAAGTAACTGAGTATACTCCGTTTCTCCCAGAGGTGTTTGCCTGCAGCTCCCCTGTACAGCTGAGCCTGTGGGGAGAGCAGAGGAGATGACTCTCAGCCTGCTCCAGGCTGTGGTCCTCTCCAGCCATCACCTGCCCTTTTTCTTCCTTTGAATGAGGACAGCTGAAAGCTGCATCTTTCTAGAAGGAGCTCTTGACAGGCCCACTGGCCCAGTTTTGCTTCCTGTCATCTGTTGGCTCCTGGTTCTGAATGGTGTGTGCAGCACAGGGTGATGTGGTTATCCCCATTTCTCATGTCACTGGTGTCCTATCAGGCTAGACTGAAACTCCCTGGAAAAGAGGCATCCAAGCCAGCCCCTGTGATCTGCTTTCCTCCTTGCTCCAGCCTTTGGTAGCTTTTGATGAAGTCCTCAAGTAGGTCAGTGGCTCTGGTAGTGTGGACTCACTAACATTCAGGTACCAGGCTTAGTTAAGATGGGTATCACCCCTTAGCTCAGCCTCTGATGCATCAGAGCCTTTTGCAGCCTTTTAGGCCAGTCTGAGCTTTCAGTGCCAAGGCTGACAATGATCCTCTTTGTTAGTGTTCTAGATAATAAGAAATAACATGTTTTGTCTTAGAGGTGATTTGTATTTGCTTTCTTTGGTGATGTCCTGTTCCTGTTGGTGAACTGGATCTTCCAAATGTAGGAAAGTGGTTTACACCAGTGATTGAACTACTTTTTTTCTTCTTTCTCTATGTTTTAATCTTTCATCCTTCTGTCCAGTTTAGATGATAAAGGTAAATTATTACTGAGTGAAGATACAGCTGGAAGCAGCCCAAATAGATTAAAAAAACCAATGACTCCTAATAGTCTTCTGATTTTTGGATTTTGTCTCAAGTATTTTTCTGCCTTAAGGGACAGAAAATAACAATGAGCTCTGCAGATAAGATCACTGTTGCTTTTAGCTCACTAGCTCATTTGGCAGATGATTTATAAAAGGATATTTACTTCACAGTCATCTCTTTCATAGAAAAATTCCCTGTCTCAAACGTATTTTACCAATCCTTCCTTGCTAGAGGAGAAAAGTATATTGTAGTCCAGTCCACAATATAAATCTTTCTAACTGACATGATGCAGAATAATTTTCAAGTTCTTACTCGTAAACTGTCTCTGTTATCACATGGTAAAACAAAATTCTAGATTGTTAAAGGTTTTCTGAATATTTAAAAAAATAGTCGCAGACAGTCACTCTTCTCTAGAATATTTGGCAGTAGTATTCACCCCAGGCTATGGAGGACTTCAAGGAAGTAGAAAGAATTAGTTAAGAAATATGTTTTTATTCTACAAGGTTTGTTGATAGGAAAACTTTAATAAATCTTGATTTAAGGAAGGCAGAAATATGAAATGATAAAGATTAATTTTATTAATTCCAGGATCAGACTTTTTTTTACACTAATAGACTGAAAATACATACTATAGTGGCAACAGCTGTGACACCAAATACTGAAAATCCAGTAAAACTTTTTCAGGAGTTTTGCAGCACAGTCTGGTGCTCCATGGTTATTTAAATTGTAACCATGCTTGGAATTAATGGAGCAATTATTTACTATCTTTTTCAGTAACTTCAAATGATTGAGTCTACTGATGCTTTGTGCTTTTCCTTTATTGAAACAATTGAAATAGAGAGAATTGCATAAACAGCATGTGTATCTTTTAAGAAGTGAGTTTGTTTTTAGATAGAGTCCTCAGCTTTCTGGCTTGAACCTAAGAGTCAAAAATTGACTTGGATTGTAGCTCTGGTTTGTTATGGTTATTTTTCCATGACTATTTCAATTTTCTAGTTTGTTAACTTAGAAATAATAGTAATATCTGTTCACTTCTCAGAGTATTTTAAGATCTGAAGACTACAGAAACCAAATCAAATCCTGCATGTACATGTACCTAGAATGACATTGAAATGAATATAATTACTGAAGCATAAGGTTACATTTATAGAACTTTATACATTATTATACAAATTTTAATATTTTTTCTGAATTTAAATATGTCATTGCAAATACTTAAAAATGCTGAGGTCATTTTAAAGGATGAGAATATATTATCTGGGTTACAGCTGAAAATAATATTGTAGTTATTGACAATTAGTCTTAGTTATGAAAAATTAAAGTATTTGCTTTCTTAGCAAGATTTGTAGTCAGACCAATTTGGAACTTGGAAAATTGCCTAGCCCTTTTATGAGAACTAGCATTTGCATTGCTAGCAGTCTCATAATTATCTTTTCTTTTGGGGAAATGAAGGTATTTTATAAGAAGGAAGTAGGAGCTGGCACAGCTGTAAAAGATACTCCAGAGATTGAAAGAGTAAAGAAAAATCAACAGAATATTAGTTCGGTAAGTGCAATTAACGTAAATTATTCTTACGTAAGTAAAAGGTGGAGCAACATTTTTTTTACTATCTTGTTTACTAAAAAGTTCTTCATTTTCATATCACACATCTCATTCAAATAGCTGTCCACTGGATTTTGGATATAGAGCTCTATTCTAGCACAGCTAGAACTCCCCTATACTGTAGTACTTCTGTGTCCAAAGGTAGAGATTCTAATTGAAACATTAGGTAAAATAAGAAAATATTTTAACTAAATATTTGAGCAAAGTGTTTTGTCTCTCAGGAGTGAGAAATATGAGATGCATTTCCCCATGAGGGAGACTGAACAGCAGTTGTATTTGCAGATTAGAAAAATACCATGTGACGAAGAAGAAAACCTATTGTGTTGTGTTAGAGGCTGCATGTATTGCATAGGACTTGATACAGTTTGTACTTCAAGATGAGAAAAACTATGTCCAGACTCCCTTATATGAAAAGCTAGAGAGCTGGATCTTCTTTATGTGCTGGTGACAAGTTGATCTGTGGATCTGATGAGATTTGTTCTGAATTGATGTTGTTTATCTAAGGATGCCCAATGTCTTTGAAACTTTAATAGGGAAATCAATATAAAATATCAAAATGAATGTTTGCTTCAAATAATACATTATCTTCTGATAAATATGTGGCAAAACCTGGAAAAAATCTGAAAAGTGACTGCCAAGCAGTAAAAGCCTTGTAACTGTATTGTTCATTTCCTTGTTATATTTGGTGGGGACTCCTCTGGGGCAATTTTTATGTTTGTGACATGACTTCTCTAATTATTAGATTTTTTTAAAAAAGTAAAGTATAAAAATAATGTATAGACATGATACTATGTTGTGTTTAAGTATTAGTTAAATATGAATTAGGGTATCTGGATACCAATTCTCCTAGAATTTTGTTGTTTAGTGAATAATGTTAAACACCTAATTTCCCACCAAAGTAAGGTCAGTAGAGAATTTCCAAAAAATTTAGAAAAGCTCATATTTTCCTTAATTTTTTTTACTCTATCCATCACTATTCATCTTGCCATTTTGAGTCACAGTGCAAGCTATCATATGTCCTAAATCCTGAAATAATTGGATATTGATCAATTGAAACCTGATGGTTGGGAAGCTGTTGATTCTCTTGATTTGAGGGTGAGGGTTTTTTGTTTCTTTGTTTGTTTTTTTGTTGTTGTTGTTATTTTGCTTTTAAATTTCCAATTATCACACATGTTTATTTAAAGAGTAGTCACACAGAAAGGAAAAGTCTTACTCGAATGCTTTTTCACAATGCATTTCAAAGTGTAATAGAAAAATAGTGTACACTGTTCTTGCTGTTTTAGAAATCCTGAATAGTGGTGAAGAGGGAAAAATGAAAGGTTGATCAGTATGCTAGTAAACACATTTGAGCAAAAACCTACCAAGGGAAGTACAAACTGCATTAGTGGTGTAGTGGTACTATGTAAATAGCATGGCCTTTACTTTGCTAGTCTTTGTGTAGAGTTAATGTTTTACAAAAGGTATTTTATTACGTGTAGTGTACTTGAAATTACTTTATTCTTGTATAATATTTATTAGAGGTGTAACATGCCAAATTTAAAGGCAATGTACGTGAATGTTTCAAATTACATGTCATTGAGGGGGAAATTATATTGTGCAGTAAGAGGGAAATAGTACTGTGTAATGTACAGCAGTCCCAAAGGAAAGGTAAATTACACCAATTTTGAATCCATTAGATATGAATGTTTTACACGTATTTTTGAATTTAGCCAGAAGAACTTGAGACAGCCTTAAAACTATTTTCTGGGCTAAACAAAACTAGTATGTGGAATGTGAAGCAAATTTGCAGTGAAACACCAGGGCACCAAAATAACACTTACAGTACAACACAAAAAAACAACACTTGCAGACCACACAAAAAAAGTCCATTGAATCATGTTCTGAAAGTGATCAGATTCTCCCAGATTACCTATGTAGGAGGAAAGCCTAAGAATGGTGTTTTCAAAGCCTAAAACACAAGGTGGTGACAGCCAAGGAGGTTGAGCTCATCTCACCTGTTGTGATGATTGGTTTGGGAGAAGCCAAGTTCTCACAAAACTTTTAAAGCAAGCCTCAGACCCATGGGCTGTAGCTGAATCTGCACTGAGAAGCTATAAATAACTAAAGACTTTTAAAAAACTTGTTTATATTGTGGGGCAGGATTGGACACAGCACTGGGAAGAAGAAGTGCTTTGGGAGAATCTATTTATGTTTTTGTTAGTGTGAAATCTGTGAGGAAACTCCTGTGGTATGTTGGTCAATACCACAAAGCTGGGGGGGGTCTTATTAAAATTCAAGTAACAGACATTTTGAAGCATTTTAAGGATGAGTAGCACTGCCAATTGTCAAACTTACCTAATAGTCTCTATTAAAAGACCCTTCTTTTCTAGTGCTGTAGTGTTTTTGCCAGTCCTAAACTGTCTGGACTGTAATTTTCCATTCCTGCTCTTTACTTTGGACTGGTTTGGTTTTATTTATTTATAAATTTCAGTCAAAGCATCTTCCAAGTATGAGCTTAGAGGAAAACAAGTTGTTTTGTCTGTGCTATGAAAGTGGGCATTCTCCAGAAGTACCTTGTCTTTAGAAGAGAGTTGAAAATTAAATGTTAGGAAAAAACTAGTAAATATCTGACAGCACCTGCAAAAGCTTCAACAATCTGGACAACTACATCCTCACCTGTGTGTCACATGTGTTTTTAAAGAACTTAAATGAGACTTTGAAGCCACCTACCCTTTTAGGAACACCTAAAAGGCTTCGTTTCTGAAATAGACTGGTAAACTCCATAGCAAGTTAATAGTAAGACCAGGTCATTTTCAAAGTTGGGTGGATCTCCAAGTAGTGTATGCAGCATCCCAATTATGGTGAAAATAACCACAATCCCATGTGATGTGTATTCCCACTGTGAGAGTTTTAGTATACTAGAATTGTTATAAGCACTCTCTGCCGCATTTTATCAAACAAGGTACATCAGAGACCCTAGCAGACTGTTTTAGAAAATAACTGTTGCTTTTCAGGCCAGTGATGTTAGTAGATGTGGTCTAGTGGTGCAGTATGTATAAGGGTGAGAGTATAAAGTGATTGAAGTGTTTTGGTGCCTGTCTCTCTCTTCTTTAAATTGATAATATTTTTTAATATGTGTTGTGCAGATTAAATACAAGGAGGAAATTCGACATGCAACAGCTATTTCTGATCCACCTGAACTAAGGAGAGTTAAGGAAAACCAGAAGAATATTAGCAATGTGTGCCCCATTTTCATTTCTTGCACACTTCTCTCTGCTGTTTTAAATGTTATTAATGTGTCTTGGTGAATATATCTGTGGTGTTTGTGTTACTTTCTGTTTGTCCACAAAGACCAATTTAATCAATTAATGGTAAAATGGTAATTCCTCAGCCTACACTTTGATTCATAAGAATGAGTGAAGTATTTTTGTTGAAATAACAATTGTCTGTGTTTGAAATAGAAGAACTGCCAGAGGGTGAGTATTGTGTGGGAAGATGGGATTGATTATTAAAGAATGGTACTTTCCATCCAAATGCAATGTGGTCTTTAGTGATGTCTAGCACACTTGTATATTTCTATTACTTGGAAATCTCTGTTGTAATGTCTTCTGACATGTTTGTAGGTTCAGTACAAAGAGCAGCTCTGCAAAGCTACACCTGTGAGTGTCACCCCTGAGATGGAAAGAGTCAAGAGGAATCAAGAGAATGTCAGCATGGGAAGTTGCTATCCTTTAATACTTTGTATAATTTTTGGGTGTAGAAGATGAATACAAAGTTCTGCTTTCTGAAATAGTGCCTTTACTTTAGTTGGAGGAAAACTACTGTATTGTAATGTGTTCGAATTCAAGTAATGGAATTACTTGAAAATCTCTCAGGAAGCAGTAGTGACAAGTAGCTACAGCTGTGCTCAAACTTCTGCTCTCTTACCTGTCTCCTTCTGGTTCCCCAGTAACCTTCCTGTCAGAATTTAGTATTTAATGGCTGCAATAACCATTTGCAGGGACACAGAAAAGAAGGCAAGGACTGGAGCAAGCTACTGCCTTCCTGATGGAGTTGTACCCTGTTGAAAAGTCCATGAGAGACCAGGCACTCTCCTCACTGAGAGCTGCCATCAGCAGCTGTGGGTTATGGGTCCACAAATAGCTGCAGTGTTTCCCTAGTGTGCATTCACCAAAATAATTTTGAGTCACAATTTTCAAGAATTCTGCCTCTCTAACTCAGCATCTGGATTACTGTTGATATATCTGGCTTTCCTAAAATGCATTCTGTTCAAAAACTGCTTTCCTCTTTTTCAAGCTAGTCTATGTAGTATTTCTTCTCCCACTGTTGTTTACTCTTCACTGATTTTTGTGTTGTGAAGATTTCACTGGGAAAGTTTAAATTCTTTTCAAGTCACTGGAATAGTTTTGAGTGAAGAGTCTTTAACGTCAGCCATTTCTAGAAACATTAATTCTTGAATAGTTCTTTTACCTTCATAAATGTTAATTTGAAAGTCTAATCCATTTAAAAGCTTACCATAGTTTTAGTAAGACATTAATTTTTCAATTGGAATACATTGATGTAGACAGACCAAAATTGTGTTGTGCTGGAAGACAATTGCTTAAGCAATAGCTGCCTTACTGCCACAGTGCACTGCAGAATTATGAGCATAATGTATCTGCACAGTCAACCTTATCACTTAAACCCAAGAGCTTCCTTTTGTGCTGAAGCATTTATTTTGCATAAAAATATAAGAGTTGGTATTAATTTGTTGCCAGGATCTGTTACGAAATATTTACCATATTTGATTTCCCAGCATGTGGTGCTAGATTTAATGTTAGATTGCTTGGTCTGTCAGTGCCATGTCCTGTCCTGATCTGCTTTAGATCCTGATCTAGCTTTGGGTGTGCATTTGGTTAATGCATTGTGTTTGTTTGGTTACAAAGTGATGAAGGGGATATTCCTACAGTACATTTAAATAAATGCATGGTGAAATTAGGCTGTATTCAATTGGCTGTTGTCTGATGTTCTGTACCCTCTGTGTTTAATCACCTTTGAATATGTCATGTATAAAATCTAGAACATAGATGGAGACCTTATAGAATTTTTGTGTCTTGACAAATACGTATTTACAGTGGACCTTCCTGAAATTCAGTTTTTCATATGCTCTGCTTGCCTTTACTGCATTATATGTGGCTTAACCCCATTCGAAATATGAGTTATTTCTCTGTAGAGCCAAGGACCTGTCTGGTAAATGCCAAGCTATTGTGTGCATGTGTGGGTATATATCCACAGAAATGCATTAATAAACAGCCTGTATGGAAAAAAAACCAACAAAAAACAATGTTATCTTTCAAAAATCAAGTTTTATAAACTTTAATAAACTTCAGATGCATTTTAGCTTTTCAGTTGTTTCCTGGATGACCTTTGAAATAATGCATTTTTATATAAAACAAAGATATATTGCTATATCTGAAATAGTATGAATATATATTTCATTCTGTTAAATAATAGGTTCACTACAGAGAGCAGCCTGGCAAAGCTACACCTGTGAGTGTCACTCCTGAGATGGAGAGAGTCAGGAAGAATCAAGATAATATCAGCTCGGCAAGTTGTTTGAATCTTTTTGTCATTCAGGTTTTTCAGTCGCTGTAGAAATATAAACGTGGATATGCTTTTCCTTTTACATTTGCTATGTCAAAGAAGTCCAATTACATCATTCACTGATGAGATATTGTTTTTATTTTTTGAGGGCATGGACTGCATATATGTGCAAAAAACATATTCAGGATTGTCTGATTATTTTTGCAAAAAATGTAAGTGGTTGTGTTGATGTCAGTATTTTTCGAGGAGAGAGTCAGTAGAGGTCAGTCATTCTTTGCAGTAAAGAAAACAAGGAAATGAGAATTTAACCTCAGTGCAAATGTTTGGGTTTTTTTTGTGATTTGAAGCATGGAAGCGTCCATTCCATTCTGTGACATGCCACCTCTGTTAGAGCTGAGTAGTTCTAAATAGGTCCCACTGCTAAATACTAAAGAGTAGGGTAGTGTCTATTTATTGGCTTTTATGGTAATAAAATGTAATTGCTACTAAAGTAGTGTAAGAAGCAGGAGACAATTCTATTGAGGAACAAGGAAGAAGTAGAAAAAACCTGATGAAGTAAAGGATAAGACCAGTTATATTGCAGTCTGTCCTCAAGACTGAAACAACATCTGTGGCAAAGTCACTGCAGATGGTAAATAGAAGAGCTTTCATGCAGAATCACTGTGGCAGAAGAGAATTACAAGTCATGAACATTTGAGAACTGAGTGTAGGAGTGAAAAGTAGGTTGGATTTGTCAGGGAATATGTCCAAGGACAAAGGAATGGAATCTGACATTATAACTGCATATATCTTAATCATGTTCTTAAAATGCTCATGAATATTTACCAAAGTCAATTATTTTTGAGGTGTGTAGTTGAAAGTAAGAGGAAAATGTCACAACAGTTCTAGTCTTTAAATTTTTTTTAATTTGTGAAAATTTCATGTGTTTCACCAAGTGACTCAAGTTGTTGCTGTTTTACAGGGATAAAAACTCTATGTTAATGAGAAAGATAAAAATCAACCGATGTTGACTGTAATTATTCTGTCCAGAAAATGCCATATATTGAAAAACATATGTAGCTGAATATATTTTCTAAGAGAATTTACTGTTTAATTAAGAAGGCTTTGAAGAATATGCAGTACCATATATTTTTGTTTCTCATACATTACTTCAAACTTACCTATGAAACACAGACACCAAGATGTATAGTTTCATGGGTGTGCTTTCTTAGCCAATACATAATCTTAAGGAGGGTTAGACAGCTTCAGTACATGGTTTTTCTCATCACAAATGCATGTTGAAATAGATTTGCATAACTTGTAGTTACAAGTATTACAAGTACTTGAGAAGTAGTACTTGAAGTGTGAATACACAGGTAAATCTAAGATATTAAATAACACAGTGCACAGGTTATGGTGCAATGTAGGAGCTAAGAGAGGCCATTGGTAGAAGAATTCAACAAGATAGAAAAAACTATTAGAGTACTCACTTCTGAACCCATAAGTAGGATCAGCTACTTTCACTATTTTAGAATTTTGAGTGGATTTTTTTCTTACTTGTTGCAGTAATTAACTTTATATCTTTACTAGTCTCTAAAATGCCACAAAATAAACTAATTGGGAGAAATGTGATGTAAGAGATTCAGTACTTACTGATGCACAAAACCCAGAGCCCAAATATTTGTTTAGGATACAAAATATTCACATTCTTCCCAGACATGTTGCTTTGTCCTGCTAGTAAAGACTGGCTATTGAATGGGAGTTATAAACCTTGCAAAGGATTAATCCTCTTGTAGGACTTGAATTCCCTGGGCTTCTCAGGTAATCCCAATCCCACAGGCTCTCTGTTTGTTTTAGTAATAAGAAGGTTGTTTATCATTAGCCATGCAAACATGTTTTAAGGATGTTCTAAGTCATGGTGGTGTTTTCTTAGTATTTATCTTATTTTTCAGTTGATCATGAATGATTTCACTTACATCATTCAAACAGTCACAGATTTCAGCTTTTAAATGAATACTTTATTTTGAATAAGTGATTGATGGAATAAATGTGCCTTTTGGCCATACCAATATACAAGCTCATCTGTATCTTCACTGTGAAATAATTTACTGCCACATGAGTGTAAAGAAAGAAGAGAGCTGTTGGGCGCTGTGGTTTGGAAAGGTACTGTTGCACGGTGTGATTCTCACCATCCTTCCTACTGTAAACAAAAAAATTCACCTGTGCTGTTGTTGCTGTTTTGCAGGTGAAGTACAGCAGTGATCAGAGGCAGATGAAAGGTAGACGTAGTGTGCTTCTAGACACACCTGAGCTAAGGCATGTCAAAGAAACACAAAACAACATCTCAATGGTAGGGTACTTTCTTCCTGTGACTAGAGCGTTTTAAGGAATGGCACTTGACTTCCACTGGATTTTGCCTTCCATTAATATAGGTAACTAATGGAACTCTCTCCTCAGGTATGGAAGGAATATTTTCTTCTTACGCCTGTAGAGGGAGTGTTTGCTAACTGCATAGGAGTGTAATGAACATTTTCAAAATACTAATAAACAGTTTTCTAACAGTTAAATGTCTGTTCTTTTGGGGTTTTTTTGTTCTTTTTTTTTTTNTTTTTTTTTTTTTTTTCTTTATAAATGTACACACATCATTTGAGCATCACAATTTCACTGGATGAGGTGACACACTTCACCTTGTGCCTGTGCATGTTCCTGGTTTCTGCGTGACTTTGGTTCTTGGAATGAATTGTTTTGTGTGCATCAGCTTGTGTGAGAATGTTTGTCAATTTAATTAATGGATGATTAAGTTATTTATAATGTAAATATGCGTAAGCAGCAGTACTACCTTTACTACTCTTACTAATACTGGGGTTTTGTTCCAACACTTGGTGCTGTAACACTTTCTACTCTAATGTCCTTTTTTCTAATATTTCCTTTTAAAGCAGACAGTTTAGAATAACTGTTATTCTTTATAAAAACTAATTTTAAAGCCAGCTGACATATGATAAAACAAAAGAGCAAAACATACATTTTGTATGATACTGTGCACGTAGTCAAAATTATCAGGGAATGAAAATGCTTGAGTTCTTTAGAACTACTACTGCTGGAATATTTTTAGTGACAGATATATTTGTCTGCATAAGTAGACAGCTATCTTGTCTTAGAGAAGAAGGGAATGTACTAGATTACCTCCTGAGGGAATGTCTGTTTTGTGTCCTCTGTGATAGTAAGATGATGCTTTGCTGCTTAAGCTAGTGCATAATTCAGTGTCAATGGAAAAGAAATGCAAAATTGATAATAAAATATCAGAAAAACTAGTTAGGGTGATAGAAAATACTTGGATGGCCATCCAGCATATCTCATGTGTATAACAATTCTGTTATGGTGCAAAGTCAAAGTATGTAAGTGCCTCATAAACCAAAGATCTGTGCATTCCTGCACAGAATAACCATTTGCTGTCAGTTGCAACCTGGGTAAAAATGTAATTATCCTTGTTTTCCTAGGTAAAATATCATGAAGATTTTGAGAAGACAAAGGGCAGAGGCTTCACCCCAGTGGTAGATGATCCTATAACAGAGCGTGTACGAAAAAACACCCAAATTGTCAGTGATGCAGCATATAAAGGTGTGCATCCACATATTGTTGAAATGGATAGAAGACCTGGAATAATTGTTGGTAAGCTGTTAAATATTGTTGTCATTGAAGGCATGGTGGGGAAGATAAAAACCCCTGTTTGTGCTCTTCAGATTCTATTTTCTCTCTTTTTTCACCATGAAACTTATGGTTGAACTACAGGTTCCATCTCAGCTTCTAGACAAGTCATAATGGGAATGAATGGGAGATATATTTTCATTTGCTCTATAATTAAAAAAAAATATGGCTAGCTGTTACTTTAAACTTGAATTTTGACTCTAAAAGGAATGTCAGAATATCTACAATCTTAATTTTACACAGAAAAAAGATGGTTAAAACTGATTCTGCAAGCTATCAACGTTTAAATTTTGCAGGCCAGTTTGAAATTTCCCATTCTGTGAGTCAGTAATTTCTTCAGAATTGCATATATCTATTTACCTTGTGTTTCACAATTTCACTCAGCTTTGTAAATATCTCAGGCTGTAATTCATTACTAACTCTGGTAAATCAACTACCAATGTTGAGAAGTGATGTTCTGAAATATGGTTCCAGATAAGGATGTGTGTTCAAGGGATAGAATATAGATTAAATTTATATGTAAAGACAAGGTGTTGCATAAAGGTATTATTTGGCATAACCACAATGAACTCTTTTTAAAAATTGAAATGGATATTCGAAGTTGCTGAAAAGTCAGCAAGTCTGCTATGGCAAAGGAAACAGGAATATTTTTTTTCTTCTTGTTTCCTTTTTGTTTTGGTGTGTCCCATTTCTGTTTTTCTGTGCTTTGCAGCCATGTAGATCCCAGAGGATCTGCATACAAAAAAACCGTACTGAGATAGCACTCTAAAATTCTTCATATATAGTGATAACAGTGAGGCTTTAAGTTTGCATCTCAAAATCCAGAGAAATTGCAGGTGAAATGGACTGACTTGGTCACATAGGCCATCCTCCTGCCTAAAGCAGGGTTAACTATGTTTTTCCTGCCCGATGATTTTTCAGTCTGTTCCTTAAAGTCCCCAAGTAAGTCTCCCCCACATAATGAAGTATATTTCCTTCCTTTTTTGTTGCCATCCTTTATGTGTCTGTAGCTATGGTAGCCTTATATGAGAAGAGGTTTCCCAAAAGTGTGTGCTGAGAGAGCTCTGCCTGGGGCAGGTGCTGATGGTCTTCCATCACTGCTCACTTTCATAGTTGTGGTGCAGCCAAAGAAAAAGAAAAAGGCTTCTGTAAAATTGCAGTGTGACATTCAGTTTGTGATTTGCTCTTTAGTGTATTCTACGAGCCTCCTGCTCTCTGCTGCATTGCATGTGTGCTGTAGCCCTGTGTAAGAGCCACGTGTGCAATCCCAAGTTCAGCAGCTGAAGCCTTGCTAGCACAAGCAGATTGGAATGAAGGACATTCCTGAGATAGATTCTTGACCTGTAAGAGCTGAAATACGTAGTATTATTTATCACATAAAAATACTCCAGTATCAAAACGCAGAAATTCTTATTTTCCCATGCCTGCCAAAATTGTACAACTGTTTAAAGGAAAAAGGCCATGACTATTTCAGCTAACACTTTTTTGGAATTTAATTGCAATTATAATATCTACTTGTTTAAAAAGAAGTAGTGAGCTCCCTGCTCGTGAAATGTCCTTGGCAGCTCACAAAAAATCTGCAAACTGAAAAATGTACTTAGGACTCTCGTGAGTATTTTTTGTAACTGTAAATTGTTCAGCCAGTTAGAAAAAGTGTGTCAGAATCCCTCTTGTTGATTTTTAATGTATTATTGGTGAAGCTAGAGCTACTTTTTCAAATGCCTGGCTACTAAAATTAATGACACTGCTCTGGCAAATAGACACTAGTTTTAATCCTATTCTAAACCCATCAAGATAAATTGATGTTGGTGAGCTTTGGTTCTGTTGCTAAAGAGAAACCACAATTCTCCCATGAATATAAGGATATTTTTCCTTGGCAAAAGTTACCAGGGAATTAAAATTGATTTGTGTTATATATTGCCAAGATTCTGATTCTATGCATGTTATTTCAGATCAGAGAGATGGATAAAAGCAATACAAATCAATGACTGTTGCACAGGTGCTGCCATGAAGCCATACTTATATTTTCACTTACTAAGGCATGATCAAACAGGACAAGTTGCGCATTCACCAATTCCCTTCTCATGCCTATCAGTACTTTATGTAGGTGCATAATTTATCTCCATTAGGAATAACACATAGTTTATCAAAAGATTTTGCATTGGCTTTAATTTATCTTGGCAGGAAGGAGTTAGCACTACGCCTCACCTTATGGGAGTTGTGGTAGATAATGTGTAATGTTCATACATTGAATGTATTCTAAAGCCATGGGATTTATTTTGTTAGCTCTGTCTGTTCTTTCCATTGCAACTAGGCTATTAATCATTTGAAACAATAAATATTTGGGTCCTCACAGTCCTACTTTACCTACAACCCATTGCTTAGCTTGGTACCTCTCAAACCAGCAAAAGAACAAATCTGGGAAGACAGATTTTTCCTACTTCCAATATATGGAGTAAGTCTTGCAGCCAGGTCTGCCCAAGAAGCTACAGTAAAAATGTGTGATCTGGTAGATTTGTGCTTTGACTGATTATAATTTACATCAAGGTTTTAATTGAAACTGGTTTGAAGAGATTAAAATATTTATTAATTTTAGACATCATAGAATCATTTAGATTGGCAAAGACCATTAGGACCATCAAATGTTACCATTAACCCAGGTCTGTCAAGCCCACCACAAAACCATGTCCTCAAGCATCGTGTCAACACATACTTTAAATATCTCCAGCAATGGTAACTCGGCCACTTCCTTGGGCAGCCTGTTCCAGTGCTTGACAACCCTTTCAGTGAAGAATCTCTTCCTAATATCCAGTATATAAGCCTCCCCTGGCACACCTGGGGCCATTTTCTCACATCCTGTCACTTGTTACGTGGGAGAAGAGACCTATTCCCACGTCACTACAACCTTCTTTCAGGCAGTTGTAGAAAATGACAAGGTTGCCCTGAGCCTCTTTTTCTCCAGGCTAAACACCCTCATCTGCTTCAGCTTCTTCTCACCAGATTTGTGCTCTAGATGCTTCCCCAGCTCCATTTCCCTTCTCTGGATTCTCTTCAGCACCTCAGTGTCTTTTTGGAATTGAGGGGCCCAGAACTGAACCCAGGATTTAAGGTGTGGCCTCAGCAGTCCTGAGTAGAGGGTTATGGTCACTGCCCTGGTGCTGCTGGCCACACTGTTGCTGATCCAGGCCAGGATGCCATTGGCCTCTTGGTCCTGTGGGCACACATTGGCACAGTTCAAGAGTGGATGTAATTTTATCCTATGGTAGATGTGTACAATGCAGATTTCTACAGCTGAATTTGTCACCTTAGTTCGTTTTTTTTTTTTTTTTTAATATTAATTAAGAAAGATAGATACTTTTGAGTTTAAATGAATTAAGCAATTAGTAGAAATATATTTTGGATGAGCTATGGCCCTGATTCTTCTTATGCTGACATGATCTGTGCTGTATTCAAAGGAGAGTCTCTAGTGTCTGTCAGCTGTGGAGCTGTGTGCTGCTGACTGTCAGCTATAGGGATATACACTGCACCATCTCCATGCAAAAGGGTGCTGCTGGTGAACTGGGGAAATAATCTTATGCCTCTGGTGATTTTGGTTCTGCTCCTGGAAGAGACCTCTTATATGTTTATTTAGACTTAAGAGCATACTAAGGTCGTGTTTAGAATATGCGGAAAAATTATGAGCAAAAGTCTCCTTAAAGTAATGTTAGTGCTTAAAATTAATACACTAGGTTCTTTTAAGCAGGAAATTGAGCTTTCTGATCTCTTCAGGTGAATATCTAGGTATTTTGGTTAATTTCTAGATGAAGGCAATTGATTGCTGATTGTTAAAGCTCATTCCTTTCATGCTTTTACTTCCTTTGTTGTTTGTCTGTCTTATACTTTCTGTGCTTTGGAAAAAGATCTTAAAGTTTGGCGCACAGATCCCGGCTCCATCTTCGACATTGATCCTCTGGAGGACAATATTCAGTCTAGGAGTCTGCATATGCTTTCTGGTATTGCTTATATCCTGACTTTTCCCCAATTCAGCTTTTCATGTTTATGAAACTAAGCTGATACTGTAAATTTTCAGGTCAATATGCCAGCCATATGTTTTATAAGCATACTTGCATATATATTTATAACTGTTGTAGTTTAAAAGCAGTATTTTATAGGAACTTCAGCCATAATCACATGTGGAAATAAGAAATAGTGAAAGAAATATTTTCTTAAACAAGTTATTCATGCCACTTACAAGTAGCCATTTAAAAAGCATTGACCTACTTTGTCCTTGCTATAAGTAGAATTTTCAAATAGTTGGACCTTGTAAAATTTCAGAGTTATATAAAGTGGCCTATTTACAAAATTGATTTCTTTTCCGTGCACATTTTGCCTATATGGCACATAATATTATGCTTTGTTCAATTATTTGCAGCTCCAAGGTGTACATAATTTTAGGATACATTGCTTTCTTTAGGAAAAGAAGAGAAAGCAACGTAATAACAGGGAGCGGGTTTTGGCTTTACAAGTTTATTGATGCTTTCCCTGCATAGTAGTGTTTATTTTGAATGTTTCATTTTTCACATGCATTTCCTTTGCTACTTTGAAACTTTTAAATTTTGAACAACATACAACTGTATTTCCACATGCTGGGATAAAGGAATGATTTGATTTTCCACTGGAAATTTTTGTATTCTTCATCCTTATCCCTTTTCTTTCTGGTATCTCAATACCACCTTCCATTTCTTCTATTCTTTTAAAGCAAAGAAAAAGCTTTAGTTGTATTAGATTTTGAAGCAAGGTTTGGAACCAACGATGCTCAAAATGGAAACAAAATTGCAAAGAATTGACTTTTCTCTAATTTTACAGCCATCAGTGTATGAATAGCAATGTTAGCAGTGGTGGGGTTTATGTTGTTGCTTGTGTTTGCACTTCCATAATCTATTTACTGTGATATTCTTTATTTCTTTCTACCTTTGTAGAAAGAG